TGGTGTAAACTAAAAATCTTATTATGATTGTTGTTGTGAGTCATCACTCATTTTCCCCAGCATTAATAATTTACAATGTCTGTAATGGTGTTTTGCAAATAGTGTTTTTTTTTAATTGACCGCACCATTTACTTACATTGAACATTTTTTTTTTGCTTGTATGCATTTTAAAAAATAAACAGAAGCTCAGAGCAGTATGGGACATTGTTCACAGAAGTGTTAAAACATGCTGAAGGTTTGCTTGATTTCATAATTCACACTCTGCTCCGACACCAGGACCAGCAAGCATAAATTAATGAAAAGCTGAACTCACTTCAAAGCTGAAAAGAGCCAGCATGTTATACACAAAGGGTCATGGGTGTTTGAACAAATCGTCATGTGAAAGTGGGGATACATGTCAAAGAATATTGTTGGAAATATTTTCTAATCATAATGCTAACAAGAGGAGAAAGACTGCACGCAGCTTCCTTTCATATGTAACATTTCTTAAAAACACAAGGCTACAAACAATATTAAACCAAACAACCTAAAAATAATCAAATTCCAAATTCCTTTCATCTCCTGAAAGACCAAAAAAGCAGCTTCAGTAACATAGTTGGGGCATTTTTCCTAGCATCTCTGAATTTCTTTTGTAAAGAAGAATTTCCTACTTTTACTGCTTCTGCTTTTTATTGCCACATGTGACCACGGGTTCTCATTGCAGAGCTGGAAATAGTCCATTAGGTTGACTTGAAATACCTTCGAGGGTTTTAAAATAATTGAATCAAATCCCTCTGCAAAGACCTCTGTTCAAAACTGTAGAGAATCAATACATTTAACTTGCTTGTGTATGACATTTCTCAGACCAGGAATCATTCTGGTCCTGGACTCTAAACTCTTTCCAGGCAAATAACAGCACAGTTTGCAATTTGACATAACTCTAGCGATGCTTGCTGTGCACAGCTCCATGGATAAGTATTATGGATTTCAGGAATGAAATGGACTTGCAGAAATCCTGCAATTGGAAAATAAATCTACTACTACAGCAACTGACTGAAAATTGTATTCCCCCACATAGCAGGGAAAACAAATAATTGTCACATTATACAGTACCTCCAAAAAAATAAATACATAATTTAAATGTCATAATAAACATTAAATGCTGTCCAAAAATCATGTGTTTAAACAGAGTGCCTCCCAATAGTCCAGTGATGCCTGAATATTTCTTTTATCTTTTAAAACATGCTTTTTAATGAAAAAGTGTAATATTTTACACTTTCCTTGTAACATTTGATTTCTACAGCAAATATAAAGCACAGAGACACATATCAGAGGTATTTTAACTCAGACTTATTACTATATCTTTTTTGAAGTTTGCATTAGGCAGAACGATGCATTATTGCATTTAGATATGAGAAAGATCTGTACATCCCCTTGAGTAATTCAACCAACTCCCAACCCCAGCATTGGAGTGTAATTTTATAGACCTGATCTCAACAAATTAAAATTATTGATGAACAATATACAATACAGTACCATTTATATACATTTTATTTCTTTCACTTACCTTTTTTCCTCTTATCACTTATCTTTTTTCTGTTTTTCTTGTATTATACAGTACTTCATCTTTAGTCAACTTCATTAATAGCTAAAGCTGCAACACTGGGATTCATGATGTGCCACAAAATTATGTTTTAGGAAGGTCAGTGTGAAATTCTTTCTAACATGTTCTATAAATATATACTGTATATACTGTAGTGGTCTCATAAAATGTTCTACACCAATTACTGAAGGAGTATAATGTGCAAGGTTTCAAATTTAGATTCTTGAAGGACTTATTAAATTATTTTCATTAAGTAACACTTTTCTCCAGACTTCAAAATAATTCATACAATATGCACCTTGAATATAGCACCCATTTTAAATAATCAGCTGTAAAAAACAGAAACAAAATATTTTCACACGTCAAAAATTAGATCAAACAAAGATTAATAAATTGGAATAAAATCTAATATGGTCCGCCAAGAAGTACCTTGAAAGTCCTCAACAAAGAGCTACAGTAGTCAAGATTAAGTACGTATCTCTCTTTCTACTGTATCACTGCCTGAAGACAAAAATGAAAACTTATTTTACAGTAGGTAACAGCTACACATAAAAATAGTTTCTTTCAGTTAAATCTTTCACTATTCATCATGTGTTTGCAAAAGAATTAATAACATGTTCCTCTATCCAGTCTTTCTGTGTTTTTCTGAATAAGTTAGGGCTGGCAGAGAAAGCACAATATGCATTAGCCCAGTGCCTTTTCTGCTACAAAATTATCTTCATATAGTTTTGTTCTGAAATATGAGACCTGATGCTGGTTTTTAATTGACCTGTGCAGCAAAAGTAATTAAAGTGCTACTTTATTGTAAATGGCATATTTATCTTGCTGCATTTATTACCCAGTGGTTGGCTGGATGTTAGCAGTTTTATCTCCTCTTTGCTTATAAAAAAATAAACTTCACACTGAAAGAGTAAATATGCATATAGCTCTTTAGTGAAATTATGCAGAAATCCTCTTATGCTTCCCCTTGGTTTTTAGCTGCTATGCAATTACAGTCATTGGGGAAGAGGGAGGGTGACATCTCTTCTGAAGTGAACTCCTTTTAATTATATTAAAATGCAGTAGACAAGCACCAAATACAGACTATACTGTACCCCTTTATATTGAACTAGCAGTATTACTGTATGTAGTTTCCATCCAGAAATCTTGAAGCTGATGAAGAATTATCATAAAGAAATAAGATTCCACTTTTCTTTTTCAAGACAGGAAGTGCAATGCAATAGTGAATTTAATTCAGATCACACTGAAAATGGTGAGAACTCAGCAACCTGCAAAATATGCATCAACTTACTTCAGTGCAAGAATGCTGAACTCCAGCAAACACCATTTTGGGTTTTATACAGGTTCTTATGCACTGAGATATTTTTTTTTAAAGGAAAATCTTTTGGCAGTAGCAGTGTTTGTAACACTTCATAGTAACATATAGGTGTAGACCATTATGCTGTATTTCACTTGATAAATGGAAATAAAAACAAAAACAGTAAAATTCGTAGGAACGCATAGTTTCATGTATTCTGTCTTTCCTTAGCTTTTAACTGCCTTGAATCAATTAGAGCCCTTTGGCACATTTTTCCTAAAAATAAACATGCTGCAGAGTTTCTTTTTCTAAACATAAGTCTGTAAGTTCAACAAGGCTGTACATGACTCAAATAAAAAAAATAAAAGTGCCAGCTTTCTATACTCCTTTGCTGATTTCATCTTGACAAAGACAGAACCTCCTGTTACTTAATGATAGTACGGCTGTGTGTTAAAAACCATACATAATACAGGTATACAAATATGGTTTTGGATTAAAGAGGAAAATACTGGTTTGTTTTGCCAAGTAAATAGTGTTTAATCTTCTTCCAATGCAAACTGACACATTGTGAATTACAGTATGAGTAACATGTAATTAGTATTTTTAAATACCATTTACCATAAATTAATGCTAAATTAGTGTTTTAGTTACGTCCTTTTTTGCAATAGGGAAATAATTCTATTAATTCATTTCACTCTTCCTTATCTTTCTGAATGCAAGGTCATATTTTTAAATCTGAGCAGTTGTTGATGTCATTTGTTTGTTTAATTCTAGAGAAGCCCTTCGCAACTTCCCCTCAACTAAAAGAAAAAAAAAGGTTTTTTGCATTTTGCATTGTAATCATTGAAGGCAGCACAGAGGACACTTTAAAACTTCAAATCCTAGCTGCATGGTACTGTATACAAGACTAAATTTTATGCTGGCATATTAGCAAATACTAAGGGGAAAGGAATTATGAGAATAACAGTACATGAATGATTTCTTCAAATGTTTGATATATTTAGCAGGTGTTCTTTAGAAATATCATTTTTGAAATAAATTAATAGCATTTTTTTGTGTTATAGTTGAGGGTTCAACTTGATTTTACTATATTAAATATATACACAGTTCATTCCAGCTGTGCTTTTAAGTTATCGAAAAAAGAAGATGAATGCTCACTCCTGCCTGAGGTCAGAATTGCTCCACTGCACGAGCCTACTTGTTGAAGTCTTTGAAAAACGAAACCTGATTGAATAAATCAGATTGTGAAGAAAAAAAAAAGCTTCTTTGCATTTACAACTGTGTCTAGACTCGGAGTGATCCAGTTCTATCTACATTTTCAGCTACTGTCTTTGTGCATTACCTTTCAAATTATTCTGCTACTAGTATCTGCGCCATTGCAAAGACAATTAGACAGCGCTTTTATCAACCTATAATTGGAGAATCGCAACTCGGTGTTAGCAAGACCTTATCAAATTAGTAGAAATCAAAGAGAAGCATATACTGTAGCCTTGTTTATGTTAAGTTAATGGCCCTCTTAAAGAGAAAAATACTGTTACCTTAAGAAAACTGTTGACCCATAATACTAAGGGTGCTGGATGGCTTAATTCAAAATTTACTAACTGGCTAAAAAAATAACAAACTCGGAGGTATCTTTGAAAATTTTTCGTAAAAAAGTATTTGATATCATACTGTGCTCTATAAATGGAGTGCTTCAAAATTTATTTAGTTGTTTTTAGGATTAATTTTAAAGTAATTTAATGGATTATTATTACTTTTAACCAGTGTTTAATTTTTTTGAAAAGCAAAACAACATTTTACAAAACAAACCCCCCTGTAAACCAGATTCGCGACGCACCCGCCATGTCTAGGGAGCTGTTCTAAGTAGTATCGAGAGAAAAACTGGGCTACTTCTAAAGTAAATAAGTTAAAGTTAATAAATAATAAGTTAAGGTTTTCAAGAAACCTCTTACATAAAAAAAAACATGCGTAGAATAGTTCAGGACACATGCATGTGATTTTGTCTTAAAAGGTTAATGATCTCTCAATATTGAGTTCAAGGTTAAATTATTATTAAGAAGCTTTGCATTATTTTTGTTTCACAACACCTTAAACCACAAAGCATTTTTACAAGGAATTTTATTTTGTTTTGTGATACTGTATATACCTATTGTACATTCTTATTTTAATAAAAAGTATCTAGTTTGTATATTTTTAACCCAGGTCGGAGCATTTACAATATGCTTTATGTACAATACCAAATACAGTATATTTCACATTTACATAGTTTTATATTTAGCTATGCACATACCTGAGCTTAACTCAATACCGGTTCCCTTAAGCCAGTGGAATCCTGGTTAATTAGTATTAAGCAATATATGTAGACAAACCAATAATATTAAAAAATAGCCTTTCCCCTTACAAATTAAACAATTCATCCGCGGCATGTCTTTTTGTCAGTTGAAAGGCTTTGTCGAAAATATAAATCACATTGTATTTAACAGGTTCTGCAATGCAAAAGCGCCGTTCTTTTATATATATATAGGTTTAAATGATATAAAATGGATCTGACATACAGTAGATGTGAATCTTCCTGACCTTGGTGAAGCGAAGAAAAGTATCGACTATCCAAAACAAATATGACAGTCGTTTAAGGCATAACAAAATATGGTGACTTGTCTAAATAATGGTAATCGTTTACAGTCGGAGCTATATATGCGTATGTTTTATTTAAGCGGAATCAATGAGTTATGATTATATGAGTTTTGAAGTTGATGAACTTCTCACTGTTGCATCCTCTGTGTCCTTAGTAACCAGGTCCTCTGACAAGGAAGAAGACCCTTCTGTTTTATCCAGCTCTCGATTTGTATCCGTCAGAACCTTTCCGGCCTGGTCAGTTGTCTTTACCCTCTGCAGTCCTTGTGAGCTTGCAGTACCAACAGCCGGGGTTTCCGAAGAAGGTTGCTGGTTCTTAGGGGTAGCATCCGCCACATGCCTATCGAATTGGGGACCAGTCCCTGTTCCATCAAGGTGCTGTTGATGTATTCCACTGGTAGCTATCGGCCTCAGCGCCTCTCTCGTCTCCCTGTCAGCAGCCAAGGGTAAAGCGCTTCCAGATTCCGCACGCATTTTTTGATTGTTTTGTGAAACATCTGCAGATCTCGAGGCTTTGCTCTCTTTTGCCTTCATAAGCAATCTTGCGGTTTCCGTGGCTGTGTAACTCGGTGTAGATGTATAGCGTCCTGTTGCACTACTATGAATGCTTTGGGGTAAAATGTCGTCTGGAATTATTGCTGGACTTTTACTACTGCTATCCTCCCATGGAAATAATTTGGTCTGAGGCTCAGCTCTCATATTAGACATGGTTTTATTTACTGATGACAAAAGGTCTGTCTGTGACGAATTGTTCTCAGTGCTAGAAATGTTAGTGGCTACGGTGACCTCCTCGAGCCCCCCAGGTTTCCCAGATGTTGCTGATGCAGACGTTGGTTTCCAGATCAGGCTGTAATAAATGGCCAGGATTATAGCTGCCAAGGACACGGACAAGACATAAGCAAAAACTGTGGCCAATCTCACCCACTTTTTGTTCGTCTTCGCAGCCATCTTTGCCTTTTTGTCCCCGGTGTATGTGGCAGGTTTGCCCCTCTCCATATTGGGCATGAAGTCCCTCTCCCTCATGTTCCCCCGATTTTTACCTCTGTGCTCCACTACCCCGTCCGTCTTGAACGTTTTTGATTATCCACAATCCAAGAGAAGACACACACAAAAATTGACACAATATTGTCTATTTTGTTAAGAGAAAGATGTTTCTTTCATTCATCCCGTTATTGAAAGCGTAACAGCGTCTGTCTCAAAACCATGGCAGCATTCCATTTTGCTTGAGAATAATAAATTGTTCTGTTCTTTTCTGGTCCTTTCTTGGATTCGTGAACTCTGCCGATACCCAGAAAAAAATATTGTTTATTCCACTGAAACCTCCAAGGGATACATCAATTCCGCAGTATGGGCTTCACTGTGATTTATCAGAGTGATTAAATGAGATCATAAGGTACACACGCCGCCTGTCTCTCTTATCCAGCAAATGAAGTGTCTGGTTCTGCAACAAAAAGAAGGAAGGAGGCGGGCGAGGGTTCTTAAAGGGACGGTAGCTAGGCTAAAACATGCGCATAAATTTAATTTCACTAGCGACGCAAATCCGTTGAAGTTTTCAGTTTGTAGCCCTGAAAAACTAAGGATGCAATTTTTATAGTAGTGATTGAAATAATGGTAGATTTTAATTTTTCCTACAATTTTCCAGTATCCCCTCTTCCGTTTGTAAAAATTGCATTACACCGTGCCCTTATATACAATATATAAAATAAATATGCCTACAGCTGTATTAATCAATTGTAGTTGATAAGCTTTACCTTTGCGTCTTTGCTGTTTTACAACTGACCATACATAATGTGCAACTTTAATCTTTACAAATCTAATTCGATGTTAGTGGGACAGAAAGTTTACATACACTTTTTATTTCCTAAAAGACCATATATGTTATTGTTATTTTATTAATACGTACCCGGAATAATTTACCGTTGTTTGTACAGTAAGTGTATAATACAGTATGTCCACAATCGACAGGTCTTCGGATACCAACTCTGATCTCCGGATCAGTTCAGCACCACGGAGAGCAACTTCTCGATTCTCGATAGCTGACCAATATAAAAAAGGAGCCATTAAAACTCGTTTCACACACAACGTGATGAAACTGAATGTAAGATGTGTCGTGCAACTCCACCCCAATTCAGATAATCAGGGATTTAGTTTTGGATTATGCTTTTCACATAAAACCATACTAAGACCCAGTTTACTGGTATAAAAATTATTTGAAGATAAAATCATATTAAAATATAATTTTGCATGTCTGTTTAAACATGTTTGCCCTTTTATATGACATGGAAAGCAGACCATTGTCAAATATCTGCAAGAGATGTGAAGTTAGTTTCAGACAAAGCAGAATCTAGACACCTTTCTGAAACATTCAATAAGGGATAGTGACATTGACATTTGAAAAACTAATGTAGAAAAGACTATCTACACCCAACCATAAGATAGAAAAGCCTGTGCTCTTTAAGCAATAATAAATCATCAAACATCAGCTGCCAATTTGCACAGGAACATCAAAACCTCCAAAATACAAATATTTAGCTGACTTAGTACATAAACATGTCTTTTCACTTTGTCATTGTTGTTCTGTAGTTTGAAATGCCTGCATAATGTCAAAAGGTGAACTGCCATACAGAACCCAGCTATACTGAAATGAATCATTTTTTCTTTATTACAAAACACCCAGGTATTTGGTTGGTAGACTATATGGAATTGAGAATTTGAGTATTATGCTGATTAGGAAGACAAAGGGTGATTTCACTTCCTGAAATGTCACCTATTTCAGAAAGGAAGTGCAAACTAAATGAATTAGATTCAATGAAATTACTGGTCTGCTGAAAGGGGATTTGTTTGTCCCACTTTTAGTTCTTCCAGCAGATGGAAGCAGGATTTCCTCTAAGGTTTGCCTGTACTTTGCTTCATTCACTTCTCCCCAGTCTTGACAGGAGCCTCAGTCCCCTCTGTTGAGAAGCAGCCCCATAACATAATGCTGCCACCACCATGCTTGACAGTAGGGATGGTGCTGATTGGATGATGTGTTGTTTGCTCTATATGTAACATTTTGCAGTTAGATCTCATCTGACTACAAAACAAACTTTGCCATATGTGTGCAGTATCACTTACAGTAAGTGCTTTGTTGAGAAGAATTGAGGTGTTTAATTTATTGATTTATTTTCTTCTAAACATTAGGTATTTTCTCCTATCTCAGTCATTGCAGCTTTTTCAAAGTCATTGTCACAGTGGCATCCCTAATCAGTTTCCTCCTTGATGAAATGAGAAATAAAGAAACACAACGTTTCTTCTGTGACAACATTTGAGATTAAACCAGTAGACACCCTCAAAACTGTAAATTAAGTTTATCATGACAAATTTCCACATTGGAGAAAACAACCATCTACTGTATCTGACATTTTTGGGGTTCATGTCTGGGTTTACCGACACATGAAGCTCTTGCTTGTGAGGCCAGCCCTTCATTTATTGTAGGCCTGCTTGAAGCATATTCTCTAAACATTAATTTGTAAATCAGTTTCATGTGTTAACTGTAAGTTATAGGAACCTAGCACATGTGACCACAAGATATAATATTTTTCACCAGAATTACTGTATGTCAGTGAATTTAAATCCTTCCTGCAGCTTTAAGTTGCAGGTAGGTGATTTAGAATTATATTTTTAGAGAGACAATAGTTAAACTAGTTTCAGCATCCTGTAGCCATGAAAGATGTTCACATACTTGAATTAGACCTCAAGCTGTGAACAAGGTTACTGTTGTTATTCTTGCTATATGCTGATAATCAAGGGAAATAATGGCTTAAAACTTGCATTCTGACCCCATTGCCTGAGAGAATCAGCTAGCTTGTATAAAACAGATGTCACCCTTTGCTTTCCTGCAAATGAAGAGACTGGCTCCTCTAGTACTTTTAAGGGTTGCAGTGTTTTTCAATTTCCATTCCACGTCTGACCTTAAGTACTTAATTAACTAGTTATCTATCCCTTGAGGACTGTAGCTGTCCATTCCTCTCCATCTATTGACCCAAGTAGCTTTACCATCAAGAAATTGTTCATTTGTAATGAGTGGGTGCGAGGATTTGTGTTTAATTTAAAAGACTATAACGCAAAAGGTAAAAACACAATCACGTAAAATACTTTGTACTATACTGTAGGATAAGTAACAAATAAAACAGTAAAGTTCATTGGAGTTACCTTCTATTTTTCTAGCATTACGTAAAATAAAAACAGGGTATGTATCCTAAAATCAGACTAGATTATTATTGGAATTTACAGTATCAACACAAACAAAGTATGAGTATCCTTTGATGACTTATTTGGGGAAAAGTATTTTTCAGAGAGATTATTCAGATATTTGTTTAGTATGAAATACAGAATTGTCTCCAATCTAAAACTTAAAGTTCATTTCATACAGTCCCCTCCAGAGGGCAGTTTTTATCTTCTCATTCTGTTTTTCCAAAGAGGCAGTCATAGTACAAAATTATCTTCTCCATTCATTATCCAATGAGATGTTTCTTTCCTTTTCTTTTGTTTTAAAACATTGTCTCCTCTCTGTGTCAATGTTTTCTAATTCTGGAATATTTTATTTCCTTTAGGGATCTTGTTCAACCTGTCTAATACACTGCCATTGACAGTGTTAACATAATATAAATATGAGCTATAATGGCTTGATATGGGTGATATATATTGCTTGAAATATAATTGCTGCGCCTGTGGCTGGAAGGTTGCCAGTTCAAATCCTGTGACCGGCAAAGGAATCCTACTCAGTTGGGCCCCGGAGCAAGGCCCTTAACCCCAGCTGCTCCAGGGGCACTGTACAACGGCTGACCCTATGCTCTGACCCCAGGTTTCTCTCTCCCTGTCTGTGTGTCTGTGTCTCATGGAGAGCAAGCTGGGGTATGCAAAAAGACAAATTCCTAATGCAAGAATTGTATATAGCTAATAAAGTGATCTGATCTGATATTGCTGATTAAAGTATTGGTGGAACTAGAAAACAAGAGCAATAATGATAATGATTATAATTTGTAATTATACTGAGAGGTAATACTTATCTGCAGTTTTCTCTATTTCCTGTGTAAATAAGCACCATGGTTGTAGCACAGTGGTGGATTAAATGTTCATAGAGATTTTTACAAATTTTTACATTGTGATATATTTTGTTAAAATTAAAATAACCTGCCTTTATGAGTACAGGAACTTAATTCCAATGGTTTCTGTTATACACATTACAATGAATTAGATTCAATGAAATAACATTACATTTCAAAGAAGGCTTTAGTCAGGAGCACTGGTGACCCATAGCTTGTTATTACAGAAAATTATCAAGGGCTGGAGGTTTGCCGTCTGATCCCTTGGCTCCAGCTGCATACTCTTCCCTGAGGTTTTATTTATTCAGTTGTAATGTGCATAATTTCACTTGGGATTTTTCTCATTTATTTTTGTCCTGAGAATCTTATAATTTTGTTTGTTTAATACACAATATTGAAATTATTCCCATGTTGAGCTTTTGCTATATCATTTAAAAACAAGAATTTGTTTTTAAGCACAAAGGGTTTCTGCTGCATGTCTGCCCAGATAAAATACTCTAAAATTATTTCAATAGTGTGCTCACAATTGCCCTTAATTCTGAGAGAGGATTCATGAGTCTACAATTGATTTTAAGTCCTTTCACCAAAAGTCTTCACCAGTATGTCTACTGGAATGTGTGTTATTGCCTCTTAAGCAATATGGATATGCTGCATGTGTCTAGTATGCAGTTTTTGAAAAATTGTCTCAACACCTGTAAATTTCAATAACACTATAATCTAGAATCTAGAGATTAGAGTATAGAGTATAGAGTATAAATTGCTACAGTTTGCTTCTACTAAATTCCAGAAATATGTTTTTTATGTGTGCACCCCAACATGGAAATGGCAAATTGTCTCTCTATACTTCTGAACCTCCTAGATGACTGGCTTTATCAAATCCAGAAAAAAGTAGTAGCTAATGGACTTGTGGTTTGTCTTAGCTATACTATTCCTGTGTCAAAGAATTGAATTCTCAATTCAACATTTTTACTTCTGGTTGCTTTCATAGACAGACATACAGTATCATATGTTCCAATTAATTTTAATTTAAACTACAATAATACTGTAGTCCCAGGATTATTTCAATTTAGGCTTTCTTAATTTTCTCACTTTAGGATTAATGTTGGGGCTGTTAATTGAGTTCTTAGTTGGACGGACAAAATATGTTTAGAGAATGTGTAATTCCTGCAATGACAATGGACTCCCTGTTACAGCACGTGAATACCCAATATGTAGGAAATGACTGCTGAGCAGGAGTCCTCAGAAGAGAAACTGCAGTGTAGAAACAACTCAAACGCTCTCATTGTGTGTTGAGCAGGGTATGAGTGAGACGGGAAGTGAGTCTTCAGTGCTGTTGGTGACTAGTTATGTGAAAAAGAAAGTTCTGACTCATTAAACATTTACATGTATTCTATGTACCTCTGTCAGAGCTCCCAGTCTTCGGGGAGTCTGGTCAAGAGCAGTTTTCATGAAGATGTGTTGCTACCCTTGTCCTGCTTAAATGATACAGAAAACGCTGCTTAAAGGAGCTAGCATGGTTTCTCCCGTGATGGATATTTAATCACAAAAGAAGTGATGAACCATCCATCTATTGTCCAAATAATTTTATCCAGTGCACAGTTGTGGAGGTTTCTGGAGCCGAACCCAGGTAGCAACAGGTGCAAAACAGAATACACCCTGGATGGGAAGCCAGTCCATCACAGGGCACACACAGACACAAACACCAGAACCAGTCTTCCCAAAAACCAATTAACCTACCAGTATGTCTTTGGACTGTGGGAGGAAAACAGATCAAGTGATAAAGATTTGTTTTATACATTTTAATTGCTTCCATATTGAGATATTGAGTGTTTTATGGTTTTACAAAGTAGGTAACCAAATAAGCTTTGAAAAATACTTCTGAATAATGTCTTTGTGGAAATGGGGGGAGGGGGGTTCAATTGTAGGCACAGTCAAAAAGTTTTTGTTTATATATTTTCATATTACTATTTTATATCTGTACTTTTATAAAGCAAGTTAGCACTCAGTCCATATAGAACTACACAGAATACATGAAGCAGTTTTCAAAATGCAAATGCAAATATAAAGAAAACCTGACAGGAGCAAAATGTAGAATGAGCTACTTCTTTAGCTCATTTATTGACACTATTATTATTAAACTTTTTCTTTAGAAGGAGAACCTGCCTATTTTCTTTTTGCCAGGTGCCTCACATGACAAGTTCTGAAAAATATAAAATACTGAAGTGGGGAATGAAGCAATCAGAAGAACATTGCTTGTAGTAAAAAGGTTGTAACATCAAAGGTAACAATGCTGAATGCTGACATTGAGCCATTGAGTTTCTTGTCACAATAAAAAAAGGAAGCGGCCTTTTCTGTGTCTAGAGAGCAGATGTGAATTGCATGGTTATGACATGAAGCAGAAAATGTGTCCTGTTTTACATAGCATTTAAATAGATTCAGATTGTATTGGGATTGGGAGATAATGTTGTATAATATGTAATAATATTGTTAAAAAATCAATAAAAAAGAAAGAGCTATATCTGCAAATTTAGCATATTATACAGAACATATTATATTTTTAAAATATAAGATTAGTGCAGTTAGATTATCCCATTTTGTCTTGGGTATCTGAGTCAGGTCCCGTATAATGTCAAGTACTACACATACAATATATGTTTAAGCTACATTTACACAAACATCAATGATTTTCGCAGTCTATTTTCTCATTGCAGTTTTCTGGTATTTAATCATACTTTCATATCATCAGCAGTGATGTTAGCATGTCTTGTCCTTTTTAATCTATTGCTTTTATTCTTCAATTTGCAGAACACATGTAATAGGTCAGCTTTATAGGATTTACATAGATTATTGTCATGAGTTACACATTTGCATCTTATTCAAACAATGGCACTTTCTGGATTTGAATCTGCATGAATCAATGCATCCTTGACTTAAATTAACCTGATTTTTTTCTGCATTCAAATAAAAGATGCGTACCAAGCTAAACAAGGATGACAGAAGTCCCTGATAGATACAGCAAACTATTTTTAAGAAAGCCAGCCATATTTTTGTGTAGTGAGAAATTAAATGAAATTTATATCAATAGTTCAAATAAGCTAGATAACAAATTATATTATCTACAGTATCTTATATACGGTAGGTAAGTTAATTGGAAAAAAATCTGTATTGCCCAATGGCTTAGTTAGTGCCTTGCAAAACTATTCATCCCTCCAATGATATTTTATTTTGCTGAATTACTTACAAACATGAATGCTCAGGTTGAACAACTTTGGGTTAAATTTAAATGTCAACAACAACTGAAAATAAACATAAAAAACTAACATATGTTGCTTTGAAAGATATCTTCTGAAAACATCTCCAGTATAGCAGTACACAGTAGCAGATCTGTTCCTGAATGCCCGTAGGTGCTCTAAGTTTTCATTGAGTCCTTAAGTACAAAACGGAATCATCTCATTACTTGGTATAACCAGGTCATTATTTGGTATATGGGAAGAACACCAAGCACTGTGACTGCTTTTAAAGAGATACAATTTACAAGATTTTCAACCTTCTGGGCCAAGGTTACCCACCACTGCTGTAGTAGCCAAACAAGTGAAAATAGTTATAGGAATTTTTTTCAGCTTTGAATTGAAAAGTTTAACTACAGGTCAATGCTGAAATGGAGATGTAAACCAAATTCTGATGAACTTTAACCACCAAACTAATTTTATTTTTATGACTGTATTCACCTAACAGATGACAGCACAGTGATATGCTTAAAATTATACTATTGCCGTAAATCGTTTATGAAAAAACACTTCCTGTATAGTGACTGGTTCATTCAACATAGTTTCAAAATTTGTTTAAATTTTTACCACTACCAGATTTTTGTGCTTTATGTGTCGAGTGGAGTTTTCATTTTATGACTTCTTGTGAAAGTGTCACTATTGTATCAACTGCTTTACGTTTTATTGTTGGTTGATTAAAAAAAACTTTCCTAGAAGTGATCAGGTTATATATGGTGTCTCTGGTGTCGTGATGATTTGCTTTGCATATGTCACTGACAGTTTCTCCTTGAGTCATTTCTGAATACTTGTGGAGGTATAAAATGACTTGTCTGCTTCCTGATTGGGCTGGTAGAGTGCTATGTTATCAGAACAAGCATAGAGAGATTTTTATGTTTGCTAGCATTAAAGATCTGCAAGACAGTAAAAGAATAGAGTATTAGGCTTACATTATTAGGAACACGTGGGTGTCAAGATGGAGAAAGGTGGCCTTTTAGAGCCACCAGTCATAAAAGATTACTTGGTGAAAGGGGACCGATTCACAAAGTGGAGTGATGTGAGTATAACAGAAACTTATGATTCTTTTAAGAAATAGTTTCAATATTTCAGGCTAGGACTAAAGAACTGTAGTTGCAGGCAGAGTTTTGTTCATTTGTATTTTCAGAAATTCACTAGTACATCTTGCTACAGTATGGATGAACTTACACAACTTAGAAAAAGCATCACTGACAACAAAATGTTACAATGACATTAGGGTATTAACTATATACAGTAGGTGATACAGTATGTTGTCAATGCTTATATCTTTACCTGTATATGCATCCTAAGCAGTTTGGATATGTACCAGATTCTATATTATACTTCTTTATAAGGATATATTTTTAGACTTTCAGATATTTTCTTCAAATTAAATTACACCTCCCAATAGTCAATAATAATAGTAAATAATAAACCAAACTAATCAAAATTAGGACATTTAATGCAATTAAAATGTAGAACAATTAAATAAGTCATGAATACTCATGACTTCTCTAAATGAATGTCCTTAAATGATCAAGAATTTCCCTATAGAATCAAGAGTACTTTTCCCTAATTTTCGGAAATTTTCATGTTTATCAGATTTTTTCTCTTAATAACTTACATGTATTGTTCTCTGAAATGCTTTCACCACGGCTCTCTTTGTTGATGTGAAATGTGGCATAGACGTGTCTTTGCCATATCTCATTTTAGAACATTCCTTATATGTCAAGGAGAAATATGGTGTAATCACAGGGGCACATCTTTGTGTTACCTTTAAAACTACAGTACATGTCTTTGGCTTACTTGGTTCCACAAGCACCTGAATTTGATGTTATCCCCTAAGGCATGCTAACCTCATCATGTACAAAAAGTGTTTTCAGTTTCCTTTGAAATGAAAGGATTTGTGAACTTTCAGATTTCAAGAAGAGTTAAAGATTAGACTCCTAAGATAAATTATTTTTGAAAAATAATAGAACTGTGTATGGAATCCTTGGACTGATTCATAATGATTATGCCTGTGTAGACTATCCCTATTATTATGGAGCAGTCATAAAGTGCATTCCCTAGGACAGCAGAGGACAGTGCTAAAAGACAGGGACAGAGCCCAGGGGGTTCGATACTCTGAGAGAACTGATGAATGAATAGTTTAATCAGATAGTGGTGTTAACAGGGTCTCCCACAGAAAATGTCAGTTTCAGAGTGAATACCTCTCCTAGAAAAATCCTTCTTCATAAAAAGTACGGTTTGCTAGACAGAATGTCATTTTTGCCTGCAGAGAACAAGAACTACCGAAGGAAATAAATATTCTAGAACAGAACTTATATTTATGCAATGTGTCTTTTACAGTATATGTTAAACAAACAGATTCAATAAACAGAAATCCAAACCAGCAAGTTTTATTATTTTATGTTCCTTCCCATATATCTCGATGGATAAATGAAACATCCTGCAGCATGTTTTATTTAAGATCTCAGGAACCTGAAAGGAAATGATTAGCTCTTAGGAAATTATCAGTGACCAAATACACAATTAGGAGCCAAACCAGCCCAAACATGTTTCTTTTCTTCTCTTTTCAGCATGGAATAAACCTTTACTTATTCCTTTGCAGCCTACGCATGCAGATGTAGCTACCTACTGTACTTGAAACTTTGGTTAATTTGGTTAGTTATGCTAAACAGAGTCCTTCACGCTGTTTATTTTAATAGGGCAAGTCTTTGTAAATTAACATGTATTTTTTCTGTCAGTGTATATTTATTCATGCAATATGTCTTTGTTTTATTGTTTGTTTATGAAACAAAAGATTCAATTAATTGAAAACCAAAACAGCAAATTTTTATGTACTTATGATGATGGAATGTTTTGACAGATGAAACGTGTTGGAGTAATATCTTTACTGATACATTCAGGGCTAGAAGAGATAGTAAGTGATGTTAGCTGAGAAATGCAGCATATTTTACTTAAGCTCTCAAGATCCTGTTATTACTGGAAACTATAAGTGACCATATACAGCAGCAATCAGGAGCCAAACAAGGACAAACTGCTTAATTTGGTTAATTCTGAAAAACTGGAGTGCAGAGCCCTTCAGGATGCTTATTATAACAGAGCAAAGCTTTGCAAATTAAATGTGTAAATCTGTGTCTGTGAATAAAATCTTTTGAATTAACATTCATAGTTGTTTTTGCACATTTATAATATGAATTAAAAAGAAGTTCTTTTTCAGTTTAATCATCTGAGTATGGATGTGTGAATGTCTTATGATGTGGTTGAAAAATGCACAACCTTTTTATGAGGAGGAAATCATAATTACCTCCGAATACAATCATTTTTTTTTATCAGTAAATATCGATATAAAGAGCTGTGCTATACCATTGTTTGGTGTGGTGTAGGTAGTGCTATGGTTTCTCTTGTTTTCTGTGTTGCAAAGACTTTGCAACATTCTTTGCAACATTTGTAACATTTCCTTGACTGTGGTGTCCTGCTGTTGGAGTTGTTTGCAACCAGTGCTACATCTTTCTAATTGTCTGTGCCAGGACTCGTCTCGCACCTCCCCTGTCATGATGAAAATGGATCCGAAGGGCTTTTACCTCTACTGGACTCATCAGAATAAGGTAAGGGGGTGCTTTCACCATGGTGATAGGATAGCATAAATTGCAAACAGAATTAGAGTATTGGAATATTAAGGTTGTTTTAAAATAAAGTACCTTTATGTATCCTAGAAGTATTTTTATATACTGTATACTGATATATAACTTCTACAGTTCTAGTAATCAAGGAAATATCAAACAAATAGCAAGGTTATTTCAGTTCAATAAGAACATTTCAACATTTAATGAGTGAGAAAACCAGCTGCTCTCAAAACAGAATTGTAGAATACATACAGTCTACTTGATTTTAAGTGTGAAATGTTATTGTCCGTAATCAAATTGAGATAAGTCTCAATATATACATTTTTACAGGGTATATTATATGAATTACATGTTGCCTTAGAGCTGCAGTAATGATCTATAAAGCAAATTGTTGTATGCTGATTGCAGTACATTATTGTTAACCTTCACGGCTTGTTGCACAGTGTAATTGATTGTTGTTTGGTGTTTTGAAACTTGCGTGGGATGGGTCACTTCCTGATCTATTAAAGAAAACTACTGTAGAAACAGACGTTCCATAATCTCTATGGAAATTTAAAGTCACATACTATAGTTTAAAGTCTAAATTAGTGATGACTAGAAGGGGCCTGATTCAAGTATTTGAAATCCTCAAAGACAAATTAAACCCTTTAGAGTTCTTCAGAATCTACAGCAGAACACAAACTGGAGAGCACACATAGAAAACTGAGATCATGAAGAAGTTTTTTGCACAGTGAGCTGTGAGAGTACATGGAACACTCTGCCCTAGACATCAGGATAGAGTTCTTTTTTAAGATATTGTCGAGAAGTGATTTTTAGATACAGGTAACTGATATATTTAATGCAAGCTGTTTTGCTGGCCATATTACTGATGACAGCATATGATCCATAGCAGAATATACAGTACCTGCATATCAGAGGTCACCTTATAAGTGGAAATCTTTATTTACACTCAGTAGGGATTGGATAAAATTGCCTAATTTGATCATGTTCATAATCCTTGTTCTTGTAATTGCATATCTTATCTGATCCCTGCAGGAAATGGAATTTGTAGACATTGCCACTATCCGAGATACAAGATCAGGAAAATATGCTAGAATTCCAAAGGTAAGCATCACTTTAGAAGGTTTCAAATACAATTTCAATTATCATCACATTGTGTGTAATATCTCCATGTTCCCTACCTTTGAAACCTTTGATTGAAAAGAAAAGTGAGTATTTATAGCTTTCCAGAGTTTCAGAAAATGATGTTTTAATTTGTATTAAGAGTGTTTTCAATGTATCTGAGATGATGCAATCATATGCATTTCATTTTTTAGAACTAAAAGAACTAGAGGTACAATTGACAGGAGTAGAGGGGTTGCTCTCCCTTAGGTCATTTCAAGTGAAAATGTTGAAGAAGAATCCAGTTTTTGAAATTAAAACAAATGAATACATTATACATATGTGTAAAGCATGTCATCTCTATGTGAGCCCCCTTTTAATATGATTTATAAATCATTACATAACATACTTTAAAAAATAGAAAAATAACTATTTGTTATCTTTAGGGTAGTTGAAAAATGGGAGGCAAAGAATTGACCAACAACAGGACTGCACTGTGTTACTTAAGTTACAGTAGGTCTTTTTTAAACACCTAGACCCAAAGCATTTTTAAAGGGTGAATGTTGTATAGTACACCTCAGTGCATTACATGTATGTTCCAGCTTATTAAATATACAGAAAACATTTCAGGCTTCCTGCCTGGAACTTAGAAAAGAAGATCTCTTAAATCTTAAAATATTTAAATCACAAAATGCCTGTGAGTATGATTGCAGTCTGACGTTATTTTTGCTGAGCAATCATCCCTTGCGTATAGTATAAGATGAAATTAAAAAAAAACTTCAATGCTTTGAAATTTACACTATGCATAAACTAGGTGGATCAGTCTTATACTTGAAATGTAACCTTTCAACACTCCTGAATTACAGATCATTGCCAGCAGAGCAAACTGCAGCTGTCTCTGGTTTGTGCCTTTGAGCTACAGGAGACTATTACTCAGCTTGGTGGATTTTCTAAAGCAGGACCCATTACTGCTGGTTTATGAATATTTAATTTAGATGTACATAGATGAAATGTTAATAGACGTGCCCTGTTTACTGTTAGACACAGGAGAACAACCTAAATGGACTTCATTTTAATTCAAACAAGTACAGTACATACAATATACCATACTTTCACGTCTATTATTGATAAAAACACTTAGGAGAGCATTTTTGTGGATATTATGTTAAGGGAGAAGAATAATTCAGCCTGTATCTTTGTGTTATTTCATTCCTGTGTCACATACAGTATACTTTGCCAATTGTTCTACATAATCCTTTGCTGCTGCTGTATTGGCTTTATTTGCCTTGCAAACTAAATAGTCTAATAAGAATACAGATCCCAGTCAGTCTTAACACAAATGTATACTGGAGAGAGAAGGCTTACAGTATTGAGTGTTGCACTATATCTGATGAACAACCAACTCTAACCATCCTGTTTCTTGATCTAAATTAACAATTAAATATTGAAAGTATGCAATTTAATCATACAAATAAATCATACGCATACATCTACCTCATGTTGACATTCTTGTTCTGTTGTCTTACGGCAACACTAGTACATTTCTTACAGAATACTGTAACAGGGTTTTCTCAAGTCTCAAATACAGTGTTATAAGTGAATGCGTTGATATAATGTGCAGTTGGCAAATTTATAATTATTTTTGAAATACTGATATTGGGCCATACAACTCAAGTACGGTATGGGGGAAAACTAAGGATTACTCATAGCTCCTTGCTTTACTTAAAAACCATGCTTCTGTCCATTATTACTGTATACTATACTTGATAAAGGCTTTTGCTCTACTAAATTGAATGTATAGCAACAATAGTGGGTTAATGGGTTAATGGGTTAATGGTAATGCTAATGCTAATCACAAAATGTATCAGTGTTAAGCCTAATGTCTTTTAATGTTCACAGTTTTACATAGGAATCATTTAAAAAAGGTGCTTTGAGATTCAATGTACAGCACAACTATGTATGAATATTCTCACATACTGTATATTGTGTTGCTGTGGGGAATACAAAAACATATTCCTTTATGTGGGTTGTCATTTTTGATTTAATTAATCTCTGCCTCACAGAACAAAAGAGTTTGATAGTGTTGACCTCATCCAATTGTCAATCACTTTTTGAATATTCTGCACATATTCAGGTTGAGATTCACATGGGTCAAAGGTCACAATTTAACCACAGAACTTTAATCTTTGTAGATGTTGAGATATCAATATAATTTATGTGAGATGGCTTGATCTTTAAAGATAGAATTGAAACGGTGAGAAAATTAAAGTAATTATTTAACTCAGCAGATTCCTCTAGAGAGAATGGGAATATTAAATGAGAAGTCTCATTTTCTAAAGAAATAATTGATTAGCAATTGGAGTAAAATACTTTAGACAATATGTGTCAAGCAATTTCTGATTTTGCTTATTTAATTTTAAAAAAACATCAATCAATGTGTTTTACCAGATCAGTTACTTGGGCCACAATAGGTAGGGAGAGATGGAGCACATTAAAAATAATTATAGTCATTTAGAAAGTCAATCAAATTATGTAAAAAACAACATTCCAGGTACACCCTGGTATACCAGTCGTCCTTTTAGTTAAGTACATTTCCATGATCAGAATTAATTTTGACTTTTACCTTAGTTCAATGTATCAGAAGAAAATACCGAAGGTTTGCTACTCAACCCATTATTTTTTAAGATTTTTATAGAATTTGTATTACCAGATGAATGGATAGACGTGCTGGACAGTAAGTAATCAAAACATGTAAAATCCCCATGGAATCCCTTGCAGAAATCCAACTCTTCAGGTTTCATTGACAACGTACTGTATGTCATATTGTACGTCTAAAGACTCTGTTATCTTGGATTTGTTAGCTCAGCAATTGATTTAATTACACAAGAATGAAAACCAGAATATCAAGAGGAGTGCGAATCCAGAGACCCTGTTGAGAAAGATGAAAATGTTACATACAGTACTGTGTATGCAGCCACAAGAAACATAGTGTTTGTTGGTTTTCCACTGGAAATTTTCATTACCACATTTTTCAAAAAATATTTAAATCACCAGCCGTTTTTTGCCACTTGTACCCACCATTTTCCACTGACCAATTACTACTGAAAGTGATGTACCTCTTCGAACTCTCCTCTTCAGTTTGTCAAAGACAGGATTCACACATCCTTCTCAACATGCATTGTCTAACCTTTTGTTTCCACTGTGAGCACAGAGCCATAGAAAAGCTTTCATGCTTGATGGAATACTGGCATGGTTATACTGACTGATACCACAAACTCAAAGGCACTTGACCAGCAACAAGGTTGGCAGGTTTAATTGCGAGGTGAAGTTTTTCTGACCAGCTGCAGCCTACCCTGCCATGGCCATTAGGCCCAGTTTTTGCCACTCCAATGTAATTGCATTTGACTCATGACACTGTAGATACCATTAAATGCATGATCTACCATTGCAGATAATGCTTTGATCAGGTGTTAGTCCAGTAAGATTTATTACAGTCTTTTGGAACAGGAAAAAACCTGTAATTAAAATGGTTGTTTTTTTTAAACCAAACTTTTCCCTCTTTTTGTGATGTTGGACACATTTAAATAAGAATAAATATCATGTCTACATGAGATATACAGTAATAAACTGTGAGCAGAATCTGGTTCTAAATAAATTAAAGTATCAATGTTGACTTGCTAAGTATTATAACAGAGTTATTTGCACCCACGCTAATCGTACATAATGTATGAAATACTCCCTATGTTTCAAAACTGAATATATATTGTTCTTTAAAAGAAGGAGTTATTTTGTTTTGTTTATCCATAGTGCTTTGCTTGTTCTTAAACTATGAATGCATACAGTAGTTACTATAGTAAAGCAAACTTGGTTAAAAAAAGTGTCAGTACAAAAAAGGTTGGTAGCAAATATCTTATATCTTAAGAACATTGTCTGCAACAATAATTGTGAGTAAAAGCTTAAAATAGAAGGAGAGTTAAAGTAGAGTCTGTATCATAGAGTTTTTCTCTGTATCTTATGTTACCATTGCAGGTTGTAGTGCTATATATTTTTAAAGATGTTGTTCCCTTTCTCCAGTATTCACTATTGTTTTAATAATCAATAGCCGTATCTTTTTTCCTTAGCATTAATTATATTTACTCCTAACCAAAAGGTAGCTGAGAGAACATGTTTTGAAAAAAAAAATCATGTTTTAAAGTCTGATGAGTGACAACCATTGAGAGGCAGACAGCTACTGTAAATTGATTCTCAATCCTCACTTTCCATGATACTCTGGGAACAATCTACAGAACAATTCTAGTGATTGCCCCTACCTTTTCACATTGTGTATAGATTGGAAAATGCTTTAAATTCTCCTTTTCATCACATAATCAGGGTCTGTAACTCTGGTCCTATTGGATCTGGAACTATTGCACAGTATCTTCTGGTTTTATTCTCCCTAAGCCTTGAATGACTTAATTGGATCAATCATTTTTTTTAATTGAGGAATTATCAAACTTTCCAGATCTTGGGTGGACAGACTCTATAAAGTTACAGGTACCTATATGACCTACAATACATAACTATGGATCTCCAGGACCAAGGCTGTAGATCCCTAATATCTAAACATTTTATTCATGGTTAAAATATATTTATTTTCATTTAAAAGAAATATTAAATTACCTTTGGTGAGTGGAAAAGTTCTTTTAGCATCATATGCTTTTCTGAACCTCATAGTCCAGACATTTTTTCTTTTTACTTTTAATTTTGCATGCAGTCAGTCGTTTGCCTGCTTTGTTTAACCTCACCCTTGCAAATGTCAGAGGCATGGAAATCATAAGCCTTAAATAAAGAGAGCCATCCTCCATCCTGAGGTCTCTGAGGGAAACAAAGGAAGCTCGTGACCTTAGATGCAAACCAAGCCCAGCCACAAAGTGAATGCCTATCTGCTAGTATTTGACCAGTGCCACACAGAGATTTCTTTTTATCGTTTCTTTTTTCTTTTTTAAGTAAAAGTTCTATTTTCAATTTTCCAAGCATCATGAATTGAAAACAATAACAGCAACACATTTTCCCCATCCTAAAAGATTCTCCTTGCCAAAATCATATAACAGTGGAAAAGGTTCAATGTAACTACAGGTACAATAACACCTGGCCATGTCAGCAGCAACTTCCCACCATAACCATAACTTCTTTCAGCACCAGGAATATACCTAGAAAGTTCTGGAAAGCTGGAATTTGGAAAAGCCAGGATCCCGTAACACCAATGAAGAACATGCTCAGCTTCATTTCTTGTTTCTATTTTAAGGGTTTTTAAAATTGTATTAACTGAAATTTCCACCTATAGTTGTTAAGAAGCAGATTACCTGTCATCCGGAGTATCATGTGAAATGCTCAGTTCTAATTACAAAAAAATGTCATTCAGGCCTCACTGAAGATCATTTTCCTGGTTCTGGTTATCAGAACAAAACAATATACTTTCACTCTGTAATTATAATTTCAGCAACAGCTTCATTTGTAGTTAGAAGGCATAAAGCAGCATTCATTAAAACTATATGATTAAATTCATCTGCAATGCAGATAATCAACAAAGTTGGTTCAGGTAATGGAATGGTTTCTTGCTATGTTTTTTTCACTATTATTTTTTTGTTTTGCTTTGAGACTTAATAATAATTTAATTAATAATAATTGCTAACACTTATATAGCGCTTTTCTGGACACTCCACTCAAAGCGCTTTACAGGTAATGGGGACTCCCCTCCACCACCACCAATGTGCAGCATCCACCTGGATGATGCGACAGCAGTCATAGTGTGCCAGAACGCTCACCACACATCAGCTATCAGTGGGGAGGAGAGCAGAGTAATGAAGCCAATTCATAGTATCAGGCATCATTTGTATCAGGCATGTACAGGTATAGTATGTTTTTCTGTTAACAATGCTCATTCAGACCTATTGTTCAACCAGAAGTTTTTCTTTTTACCCAACAGAACCCAAAGGTCCGGAATGTCTTCAACTTGGATTTTCCTGACAGCCATCACCTTGCAAAAACACTAACTATAGTTACAGGCCTAGACATGGTGAACCTGACATATCACAACTTCTTTGCATACAAGGAAAACATACCCCAGGTAATATGTTATTAGTACATATCCACTATCAGTTCAGTAGTGCTTCTTGTTTTATTTTCTTCTCATCTGTTTATACAGTATGCTTTTAAAGCTTCAGAGAGATTATTTTTCAGTCTTTTTAAAGTGCAAGTATCGGTTAATGAAAAAAATAGCTCAGTTATGATATATAAACAAATGCTCATTTCCAGGACCTGTTTTCGTGTACCTTTGCTATGTAATTTTAATGATAAACAGCTGTATTTCAGTCAAGATTTAGCCTTGTAAACACATCTATACCCCAGGGATTGTCTAATTATGATGTGATGGTAAAGTAAATATTAATGGGCAATCAAATTCCTTTTATTACAGAAACAAACATTTGGCAACAACACTGAAAATTTTTGGCAGTGATTGTAATGCAGTGCAGTAACCTGGAAACCACACTCTCTGCCTTTTAATCCATGTGTTTAAATTTAAAGGCATATTAAATTGGATTGATGGAGGTCCAATTCAATAGCAAGATGATTAAATTAATGCTAAATAGAAACTCATTGTTCCCAGTATAATTTTTAAATTAAGACTTTAAAGCATTTGTTGATTCAAAGTGAATATTTCCTGAAACAAGTACTGTACAGTACATCTGCTTCAGTGTATAAATTCTTAATAAAATGCACCTTTTGAGTTTGAAGAATAAACCAGGAATCAGGTGGTAAAAGTAAAATTAAAATCCAAGGCGTGTGTCTCTTTGATTTTACAATAGACAGAGAGATGTAAAAAATGTATCACACTAAAATGAGAACAATCTGTGAATGTTTGGGGTTCAACAGCATTAAAAAATACTTTGGAATACAACAAAGCTGAAATTTTGATTCTGCACAATACACTTTCTTAAACAGGATTCTGAAACAAGTTTCAATTTTAATTTTATGATGAAAAATTCTTAATAAAATGAAGGGCTGGCTCTATTGAAAATGTAGACAATAACTGATTAAAATAGAGCTCATTGTCTGTGTATCCTCTATAGTTATTACGGAGCTGTGCTCTTATCTGTCTCGCAGCCTGGTTTTTGTCTTATCTAATGTACAGTATAACCTTTGGCTCACTTTAACAGTAATGCTACTGTACATGACTTGCTTTCTTTGTTGCTTTTGCTTTGATCCATTGCTAAGGATCAGTGTGTTTGAGGCCCTCTTGTGGAAAAGTATTACCTTGCCAAGGCATTACTGACCTTGAGAGTTTACACAAATTTCCAACTAGCAATTCTATTCCTCGAGTTCACTCTCAGACAAAATTTGTTTCTGAAGGTGTCTAAATTCAAAAGCTTTTATTCTCTTCTCGTTTTCATAATCTTGTCATCCGAGTGTTACGTGAGCAACAAGGCTAAAATCAAACAGCAAGTATCACTGGTGTGAAAAGTTAAATAAATTAAACACAAGCTCTATATATTGGAGCAAGAAATTCAGTGTATCTGGGTTTTCAGGTTTTCATGCCTCCAAATCCAGAATTAAAGTGTTGTAATCCATAATTATACATCCCGTAGAAGTTAACATTAAAATTGAATTTGAAAAATTAACATTTTACTAATGGGTAACTGCAGTTAGTCATATTCATGGGTTGTCTCATCTCCGTGCTATGCTCTAAGCCTTGGTATGAAGTTTAATGTAGTATATAAAACATCTTTTGCTTGCACTGTATGTCTGCAACTTTTTACCTGTACAGTACCCCATGTGGTACAGTGTGTTCTATACAGTAATTATCTAATTGCTTGCTGCAGAACTGGGCAGAGGATGTTCTCGCTATTGCTTACAACCCTATGAGGATCAATGCTTGCAGACAGGTCTTTCTGGAGAAAATGTGAGTATATATTTTTTTTTAAATTACCTACAATGTTAATCCTTTTGTTAAGATTTTTGATAATCTTTCAAAAGATTGAGCTACGAAAAACAATAATAAAACTACAGTATAGCTCAGATGTCCATCTTGCAAAGCACTAGTGTGGAATGAATGAAAAGGGGTGTCCCACACATTTTAGATTTTCTATGGCAAAGATATGGTCTTTTGAAGACAAATGTGTACAATTCTTCTCTGCTGTGACGTAACACATAGCTTGCATTAAAATGTTTTTTTTTAATTCTCGTTAAATATTGGCATGCTTTAACCTAGGGATGAATAGATTGGTTCAATTAAGTAAGATGTTAGTTTTCCTAATTGCAAGCTAAAGAGAACTGAAAACACAATTTCCATGTGGCCCAATGACTTAACAAGCAGTGCTATGGGACATTGAAGCCATTTTAGAACCTCAACACTTTTCAAGAAGCAATTCTGTATGTCACTACTTTGTGTCACTGCAGTACAGTATATACAGTAGGGTTCTTTCATTTTTATCCAAGCTGATATACTAAAGGTTCTGTGGAAACATCTTCAAGATTATTATTTTAGTGATTAGAAATGTATTCAATTTCTACTTAGAAGACCTGTGCATATTGATCCAACATTATTTAACAGCTTTATGCAATACAGTTTGCAGGGAGTCTGAACACATGGTGTCAGCATACAGTAGCAAGGCAGCAAAACAATCACTGTGCCACCACTGGTACATCTCATTATAGTAATTAAAATAATTCAATTTTAAGACAGAGTATTAGTTAAGGGCTTATTTGAAGTTGACTTTTTATCATCCATTTCAGCACTCCATTGAAACAGTGGTATTTTATTATAAATTATCAACACCTTTCTTAAAATGTATGTTATGTTTAAAGACCTAAACAGTTTGTATTGCACATGTGTAATTCTATAAAACAGTTCAATTAATTGACTACTAAAAATTCCAATAAAATAACCTAAAAGAATATTTGAGCAAATTTTGGGGAATAATGTGATACAAATGCATTGCACAGGCTTCAAAATGCTGAAGTAGCCACTAACTGTATATGTCAATGTTGCCATGACTTTTAATCATGGATCTCTCAGCTCTTTACATTTGCTTATATTGCTTCTTAATTCCTTATCCTTGTAGATATGTCCGTATCTCTTTGCAGAGAAATAAAGATGGCAAGATACCTGTGAAAAAGTAAGTGATGTTTGAATTGGTTAAATAATATTTTTTAAAGAAAACATCAGGTATGTTCATATATTTTATGTTTAAGATTTGGACAATAGTTTAGCCTGAAATCTGAAGATTTGATTTGAAAACCAGAAAAGAGAAAGGAAATTGAATTTCATCTTATTTGTCTAATGTCTTTAAAGTTTCAACATTCTACTTGACATCAAAGATTACAAGCCTTTATTTTTATCCCAAGGAATTTAATTTGTGTAGGATTTTCCAGACAGGGCATTGCTGCTACAGTTAAATTTCCCAAAGCATGTTTACAGTATGACTTAGCCACGTCATAATTTCCACACCATTCTGTATACTGTATCTGTAAGACATTGATATTGCTTGACCTGTGTTTTTCTTTTTCAGTATTTATAAGATGTTTCCTGCAGACAAGAAGAGAGTAGAAGCTGCTTTAGCTGCAGCCCATCTCCCTAAAGGGAAGGTGAAATATGTTATGCCCTTTTAACCACAGTCATTCTTAAATTGAGATTTATCTATAAGGGATTTATCTTCTTATGCCATTTTTGAAAACTTTGCTTTAGTGTTAAAATTCAACTGTATGTGATTCTGAAATGAATATCGGAATACAAAGTGTATGTTATTGTTTTAAATGTACACTGATACGTTGAGTTCAGTAATTATTTTAAAGATGTATGGTCTGTACATTCAAGATACAGTGCATTAGCAATCAAATGTCTAAAATAAAGGCTACAAAAATAAAATCACATTAACTATTTTTATAAATTTGTAATCTAATATTTCTGTTTTGTTTGTTTTTTTAAGGGTGACACGATGAAGCCAGATGTCTTCACTGAAGCTGCCTTCAAGTCATTCCTGATGAACCTCTGTCCCAGACCAGAAATTTATGAAATATTCACATCTTAGTAGGTTTCCTTTACTTTGCATTTTGGTTCTTCTGCAAGATCTCATATTTTGAAAATCTATGTTTAGTGATCTAAGAAAAAAGTCTTTATTAATAATGTATGTGCGTCAGTGTAAAACATGAATATTAGCAATCTTTATATTAACTTTTCATTTGTTTTATTTCACTTAATTATAAATAAAAGACTTAATTTATCTCCGTGATGTACAGTAATCTGTTCTAAATTGCCATATTTCAGCTCCCTAGAACCATTTAAAGCAATATTGCCTATGGCATCTGTTCCTCCAAAGTAATTATTAAAAATTCTTCTTAGTTGCCAAAACTGTTTCACTTTAACCTTTTGTAGAATAACAACACTTCTTTATAATCATAATACAGGTACTGTAGATTGTTTAGATTATCTGTTGTAAGAATTGTTAATTGTTCTGCAGCTCTGCCAAGGCAAAGCCTTACATGACAAAGGAGAACTTCACTAAATTCATCAATGAGAAGCAGCGTGACTCACGACTCAATGAGACCCTTTTTCCCCTGATAAAACCTGAACAGGTCAAGAACCTGATTGAGAAGTATGAGCCTACTTCATCAAATGCAAACAGAGGTGAGAGGCACAAACAACACAGACCCCTGCTCTGTTGCAGGTAGTGTTTCTTTCTTTTACACACTTACAATTGAATGTTTCATATATGACTTCTAATACTATGTGAGCGTTTCTGTTATGTAAGAATTGATTTTTTTATTTTCGTTAGTTACATTTGTAAAACAACCAAGAAAAATATAGCAAATGATTTGCGTTTAAATATTCCAATTTATAAGCAGAACTTGTTCTGCAAAAAATATATCAAAAGAAATTACCTGGTCAAAGTGAAACCTCTTTTTTATAGAAAAATGAACTATCCCATAATTAATTTAAATAATGTAAAATTGTATCAGGTAAAACTCTTATTCCAGTATTTTGAAATAGACAATCTTATTCAGTCATATTTGCATATTTTACGACTTAGTTTACCAGTATATTACTGGTAAAACTATAAAATATAACTGTGAAGCAGAACTGCTGAACAGGTAAACATCCTTGTACATTGTCTGAGAAATTATATATATTCTTATGTACTTATGTAATTATATTATATAATTATTCTGTACATATACAGTATTATATATTTATGTCTCTATATATACATTTATGTCTGTATAAATATATTTAATATATACATTAAATATATATAATATTTATTATATATTTATTCACTTTCACAAATAGTTTGTCTATGTGAAAATCAACATTCTCTACAGTAATGAGATTAAATAGCAATGCTGAAGGAATGTTGTCAGATGTTGTCATGAATGTTCTCAGATGTCAAAACTAGAAAACAACATTCTGTGCTATAATTCCATTTATGACAGGGATGTTGTAAAGCTTATTGTGCATTTTTATTTTACAGGCCAGATCTCTCCAGAAGGGCTGTTGTATTACTTAACTGGGCCTGAAACATCCACTGTTACTCCGGACAAGCTTGGCATTTGGCAGGATATGATGCAACCTCTGCCTCACTACTTTGTAAAATCCTCACACAATACTTACCTCACAGGTAAGAAACAGTAAGAAAATGAGAAAATCTGCCATTTTCTGAGAATGGGGTTAGTAGTATCAACATAAAAGGTCACAAGGACTGGCTTATGACTGTGGGATTGTGAAGAAGTTCTGCATCTATACAGTCCATCCTTTATTGTCCCAGATTGAAAATGGTATTTGATTTTTAATACACAGATTAGTTTGGACAGTACTCATGTTAAAAGTAATAATCATATATTATCATAATAATTATCATTTTCTGGACACTCCATTCCAAGCGCTTTAAAGTTAATAGGGACTCCCCCCCACCACAACCAACGAGCAGCCCCACCAGGATGATGCGACGGCAGCCGTAGTGCACCACCACACATCAGCTATTAGTTGGGAGGTGAACAGAATGATGAAGCCAATTTATACAGCCACTAATGCACATCTTCTTGCTATTTGCCTTGTATGCATGGAGTAGTTTCATATCTTTAATGTCTGTGGTGTCTAAGAATGGAAAGGTGTTAACAAGTAACAATCTGTAACTTAGAGCAAAGTTTTATCTCTATTTCCTTGGTGGGAAATTCAAAGCTTAACATAGAAAAAAACATTAGGAAACAAAACATAAGTATAAAAGGAGATATATATTCACTTTATTATAATCATGAGTTAAGAGTTTTAATCACTATTAAGAATATTTGGAAAGTTTTGCACTAGACTAGATTGTTTTAAAAGTTGTTATTTTAGGTTTTTAACCAAAGAATGATTTCACAGCACACCCAGTGCTCTTAAATTGAAGGTACTGTATCTGACCAGTGTCTGAACTGAAGGTGCATTTCTTTTGGGGGCGCAGCGGGCCAGTTTTCAGGGGTGTCCTCCCCAGAGATGTACCGACAGTGTCTCCTGGCGGGTTGTCGCTGTCTGGAGCTCGACTGCTGGAAGGGAAAACCACCGGATGAAGAGCCAATCATCACCCATGGATTCACCATGACCACAGAAATCCTTTTCAAGGTGTGCAGGATCAACATAGAAAATCCAATTTATAAAACTACAAACCATGTCAGTAATAAAGCTAGGGAGCAGCTCCAGGAGTTTAGGAGTGCTGAGTTAATGTAGACATCTTATTGTCCAATAGGAATTCCATTTTATATCAAGCTCAAGTGGGACCAAAGTGTGGGTAGATACCTGAAAGGGTGGATAATTAACTGTCGGAATAAATATTCTGATGTCACCTAACAATTGAAATTTGAATACAACGTCACAATATTAAGCTTTTAACAGAACACACTTTGAATGGTCTTAGAAAGATACCAGCATATAAATCCAGAAGAGATACAGTAGGTAATGATAGCCACTGTAGCACACAATTGAGAAGACAACACACTATGTTAAAATGAAAATACAGGAAAATAAAAAGTAGTGTCTCTTTATTCAAAGTAGGCAGTACACAGTACCTCCAACGTACTTAATGTGCTGGAGAAAAAAAATAGATATTCATAGTTTTTTTTTTTCTGTCAACATTGTCATCACTCCCACAAGCACTTTACATTAACTTTAATTATTTCTTATGAAACAATACATATATATCTCAAAAAGGTCACAACGCCTGCATGCTTAAATGTTAAAATGACCAGTGTGAAGACTTACTGTAGCTGCCCATGTCTATCCAAAATGAATTTTAAATGACTGCAACAGTAATGTTTTTTTGATGTTTCCAGGTAAAATTACCCGGCTTCCAGTATTTACAGAAATTGCTAGCACAAAAATCCAGGGCCTGAATAAAACAAAGTGCTTAGCCAAAACTTTCAGATAAACATTTAGACATTTCCAATATGACTGTAGGAATGAATTGTAAAAAACAAAAAGCAAAGAACACAGCTGGATCAGGCCAGACTGTGTACTGTACCTTAGCAAATGATCAAAGTAGAACTTTATGACAACTGTTGAACACATAATCAAATAAATCGGTGACACAACAGTACCTGACAGGTCAGCCGGCTCATGTCATTTACACCAGTGTGCTAAGTAGTGGAGGATTTTATGAGCAGTGGCCTGGTTTCTGACAGGCACTGCTCTCTCAGGCTCTACTGGCAATAGTCCTGTGAGATAAAGAGAGCTACAGCTCTGTGAAGTGTCAAGCCACAGCAGCACGTCTGTCCTTTCAAAGCCTTGATTTCAGTCTCCCACTGAGAGCACGGTAAAAAAGAATGTAAAATGAATTCCATCAATTTTCTGGATATTAACCCCAAAGGATAACATGTAGGCCCCAGTTCCTCCGTGACCCTGTGTTGGATAAAGCGGTTAGAAAATGAATGGAAAAGATCATTTGTGTCTAGGTTGTTAAGGTCATTGCACTTACATTTTTGTGCTCAAAGGTTTATATTTTCATTGATATTTGTTGTAATCAATAGATAAGAATATCTGATAATGTAAGAATCCTTGCAAAAGAGAGGAGGCTATTTGAGCTTTCAAACGCTTTGGATTGTTAGTAGCTTATTGATCCCAAGATCTCTTCCAGTCATTTCTTGAAGAAAGCCAAGGTATATGCTTCAACTTTCTGTTCATGGTTTTAAACACTTCCACATACTGTAGTCTTCACTTTTGTCCATATTTGGAGCACTGAAATGTTTGACAATAGATCTCAGACTCAGATCAAATACGTGTGTCCTACTTTGAACTAAGGGGTTGTAATTTAAGTGGTTTTAAAGATACCATCTCCTGAGCATAGGAGTTCTGCTTAATTGCCTTGAAACCCTGCTATGGTCATCCTGAGAAGGTTAATGATTCTTGCCTTCTGCTGTGCCCCCTATGCAGGACGTCATTGAAGCTATTGCAGAGAGCGCATTCAAAACTTCTAAGTATCCTGTCATCCTGTCTTTTGAGAACCATGTTGACTCGTAAGACGCTTTTTATTATTACAATGATCTCATTATCTATCAAAAAAAGATTAAACTGTCTTGTTTCTTAAAACTTTGATGGGCTTATAAAAATATTAAAAATGAAATATGTTACTAGTATTACGTAGTATTTGAGTAGAGGATAGTACTATTTAAGCAATATTTTGAAGAAAATCTTAAATTTTCTTTCTACTTCCAAATTTTTTCATTTCAGATCTTAGGAACGAAAGGTTTTGAGTTAAACAAATATGTTTTTTGTGTTTTTAAGTTGTGAATGAACTCCATTCAATCTGTTTTGTTTTCAGGCTTTGCGAGTTACAATGAGCATTTAGACAGAAACTGGGGGCAGAACGTTGTTACAGGTTTTTAAAAATACAAACTTAATATATTTAACATTGAGGTTAATAAACAATGGAAATAAGGCTGAAAAAACAATTCATCTTCAATGAAACAACGAAACAAAAAATCCCATATATTAAACATTTAAGGATGATACTGTATATAGAGGTTTTTGCTCCAGAGCAAATCCGTTTTCACTTTACTGTATTGAGATAACTACAGTAAATGCAAAAAATGTAAAGGCAGCAAACACAATAAGAGATAATGCAGGAATGAAAAGGTAATTTTATTTTCACTTAAAAAAACTGTTGCTCTGGATTGCTTGTAATGTTTTTTTGTTTAGGGTCAAGCAACAAGAAAAGATGGCCAATTACTGCAAGACAATATTTGGAGACGCTTTGCTTGTAGATCCACTTGAGAAATACCCAGTAAGTAAAAAAGCACCCTTTCTTCCTCATTTTAAGATAATTTAGACTATTTACTGTACCACACACCTGCACTCAAGGTTAAAGCCTTTCAATAGAAAACATTTACTCTATAAAATACTTAATACAAAATAGGAATAAATAACATACCTTATATCATTTAAGGAGAGTGGGATTTCTAAAATTGGCCTGCATAACTTTCCATTTTTAAGGTTTCAAAAGCAGCAGTTAATTACCATAAGACATTAAGGTTTCCCCATGGCCAAGAAGTGTGCTAGATTAATACAGTGAAAACACCGAGGACTTCAGGCGGAATTATGTCTCCATCATGTGTCAAGAGGAATAAATATTTTAGCAAATTCAAAAAGTGCAACTTCGCACTCTTTTTTTCCTTTTCCCACTCCAGTCTGTTTCACTCATTAAGCTTTCACAGATTTTTCTCTGATATTTTCTCTTCAGAATTTCATTAATTTTTTAACCTGAATGAACAATTCAACACTGAAGAGCATTTCTTGCTCTCATTATAACAAGCTGTCAATCTTAAATTTCCTTTATCCTACAATTCACTTTAATTAAAATTTAAAAACAATATTATTTAACAGACATTAATGAAACGACTCATTGTGGTACTGTATGTACAGTACATATGTTAGACAATGTGAGAAAATAATGTGATGTTAAAATTGTATAAAGCATCAGTAAGGCCTTGTTTAGAATATGGTGTTTTGGTCACCATTTTATAGAAAAACTATTGCTGCTCTGGAATTACACTAGAGAAGAGCAACTGATATGTTCCAGGGGCTTAAGAGACTGCCCTTCACAGAGATGGTAAAGAAACTGAACAATTTTAGTCTTGAATAGAAGAACATTACAAAAATATTGATACAAGTATCAAAATTATTGACAAGTCAACTCAGCTGATTTCTTCATAACGAACAGTCTTTACCCATAGGGTTGTGGGAGAATGGAACAAGCTATCCATCCTTGTAGAAGCAGATACTCTACCTTAGTTTCTTTCAATAAATGGCTGGATCAGATCCTTTAACTACTAACTAATCAAATAAAAATCTGGTCAAATTAAATATACCAAGGTATTTTAATGATTTACTGAAATTTATATTTTATACTGAATGGAAAAAATCTCAACTGCAGAGCAATTACATTGTGAATATTGCATGGTGCATTACCCTAATTATACACACGCTAAAACAGCTCCATCTTTTTAGTCCTGAAATGAGAAGACGCAGAGGTGTCTTGGATTAGGTATTCAAAATCTTCAAAGACACTGACAAAATCAAACCACTGGACTTCTTCTAAATTAAAAGTGAAAGAGAAACAATTTTCTTTCAAGAAGGGCCAGATGGGTCAATGACCTTCGGGTCATTTAGCTATTAGGCCATTCATTACAACTACTCTACATACTGTACTGTACAGTTAACTAGTTAGCTACTGGCCTCCTTTTGAATCAGGATATTTTCCAAGCTGATAATCATGGCTGTGGGCATCTTTCCATGACAGTCATTCTGCTAATGGAAAACAATGGAAAACAGACCTGTGAATCACAGATGTTAATCAAGATGCTCCCATGTGCATTCTAACAGTTCTCAGAGACACTTAAACAACTCTTAAGAGTCACTGAAAACACATTTGAGACTGAACTCAGAGCACAGAAAAGTATTCTTGTGAAGAGCAGCGTGTCTTGATCAATACCAAGTTGGTCTTGGCACAGTACCAAAAAAAAGTGCTTCAAAGACAAAAAGGCATATTTAACACCATCTATGAGTGCCACAGGGATCCAAACACATGCTAAAGAGACTAAGATAAGATAAAGACCTCCTGCATGCTCCTGGTGAAGTAGACTGTCCATCTATATATGCTTATCTTTCATAAAATGTGTCTTTCTGATATTTAATTTATGAATGTTTGTCTGAATTTGGCAGTGTCCTCTATTTGCTATACCTTCATATTGAGTTTTGTGGCTATGATATAAATGTCCTCATGGACAAATAGCTAATTTGTCTGTTTAACACAACTGTGCAAGATCACTGCTCATTGAAGTTTTGCATTTATTCAGTGTACGTTATTCCCATGCCTGGTCTCTCTCCTTCGATATGAAAACACCATCACATTTTTCAAAGTAAAGGACAAGAAAAGTACTTCTACAGATAGTGCCAATCAAACGTCTTATTTTACAGTTCCTGTTTGCGCTTTTATCCTTTTTTTTGCAACAGCTAAAGCCAGGACATCAAATACCAAGCCCTGCAGAACTGATGGGGAAAATTCTGATCAAGAACAAGAAGAACAGCAAAGAGGCACCCACCCATGCGACAGTCAAGAAACCGGCTTCTGAGGACCAACAGCAACCTCCTGCCAGCACAAACCAACAGCAAGATAGCCCTGAGCAAGACAACCAAGCGTGTTCTGGTATGTTTAGAAACCAAGGGTTTAACCGGCAAGGTAATAAAAGGTGTACATTATGGACCCAGCATATGGAAAGATTTATACTATGTATACCCTTAACATGACATCTATTTTAGTTCTCAGCTAAATCCCATAAGCTGGACTACAAGTACCAGGAAGCTGTTGGCTTCAAATTGTTTCACTGGTCTGATCTAGCGCGGCTGCTTCCCATTATTGCTGAGGGCTGGTGTATAAAAGGTATGGCAAACACAGCTCCAGGTCTTCTGTTGGACACCAGAACTGGAATGGGTGGAGTAATCTTGGAGAAAAGGAAAGTTGCCAAAAGAACTGTGGTTCTAATGGAAAAAAGAACAGAGAAAAAAATAATTTTATAAAAGTAAACCCACTTCTTTAACATTAGAGGACTAGTGCTTGGTCAACAGACCTGTGCTGACCAACTACCCCCCAAAGTATCACAACCAACACAATATATTGGCCCTTGTGTATCTACCTGTGATGTAGATACACATGGTCATGATATAATTTCATATCAAAAGTGTTTATACTTTTAGGGACAAAGGCATCCATTTGTCTCTGAGAGGTTTTATTCCTGAATGGATTTCAGGTTTACTGTTGAAAGGTCATGTTATTTTATACCGGAAAGGTGTTGCATTCACAGGTAAAGCCAAGTGTTTTAGAAGATTTACTGTATGGATGTGTTAAATCAAACTTTCAAGCATTAATCAATTAGAAACTCCCATACTGAGTTATAACTGATGGTTTCATGTGGCTTTTCACATCAATCCAGTTAAAATTTGGATAAGCTATTAATTCTAAAAATTCACTGCCAGGAAACATGTCTTTTAATAACTGACCATTTCCTAACAAACAGTCCTTCATTTCAGCTGGATCAAAACAGAATGTTTATGATGCACCACTACCCTGCTGGATAATCACAACTATTTTTGATCCTTTTCTTTTTCAGAGGTGGAGGGGCAAGATCCTTCAAAAGACACGCAAGATCCTCCAAAAGACAATCAAGAACCTTCAAAAGATGTGCAAGATGACCAGGAAGAGCAGGAAGATGAGCAAGATGAGGAAAAGATGAAAAACTCTGATGAGGTCTGGTAGAAGCTGATGTTCACATTTTGGGAGTACTTGAAGATCCACTGTCTGTGTCAAGATTGAGCCCCCCACTACCTAACCACCGTTGCTTGCATTGTATTCATTCACTGACAATACAGGCCTGGGGCAAAAATTATACATTCAAATAGCATCTCTTAGTATTTGGATGACTGACTGCAGTTCTTGAGTCAGATGTGTTTTGTCTTCAAAATTGAGACTTGTGTCTGTGGAAATAAGACACTAACAGCAGTTCCTTGTCATCTTTCTCAGGGTACAGCTGGTCAAGAAGTAACCGCCTATGAGGAAATGTCAGCTTTGGTGAACTACATACAGCCAAATAAATTCATCTCTTTTGAAAATGCCAGAAGTAAGCAATGGATTACAAATTCTGTCTGATAGGGCAGAAGTTGAGTGATATGCCTTCGTAAACACTGTCTTTGAATTTTCACTGAAAGAAAACAATGGAATATTCCCATATACTGTATTATCCCTATTATATTATGAAGTTGCTTTCCACAAAATGTTTTCTTCAAAGCAAGCTTTCACATAATTGTTTTTAAATATAACAATTGAAATGGAACTAAATATAATTATAAAAAATACAAATACAAAGTCAAAGAATTATAAAGATGTACAGGACAACATTCTGCCTACCCAAAATTAGATTTGTAAATTTTTCAATGGTATATCATGCAAAAAAAATGCAAAAGAATACTTAAGCCTGACAATAATTTTTTGACAAGGAATAGAAATTAGAAATATAAAAAATAACTAAACACGTTGGTCAGAGATATACAGTACATTAAAGTCACTTTAACAGGCGAAGTATTGGCATTTAGAAACAATGTACTATAATTCACAGTAAAATGTTGCTATGGGCATTACACCATGAAAAAGAAGAATTCCTCTTGCCATATTAATGTCTGGCTTTCAAATATTGTTTGTAACACAGGGCTTCCATAATTCTCACAATAAACAGCCATAGCAGAAGTAGTATATTTGTTTTGGCCTCAGCTGAAATGTTATTAGAGTCTCCCCTTCTCTCTGTCCTTTCCCTAGAAAAGAACAAGAGCTATTCAATTTCCTCTTTTGTGGAGACAAAGGGGGGAGACTTGCTCACCAAATATCCAGTGGAATTTGTGGAGTATCCTTTTGAATAGCTTTTGAATGCTTTCCAAACTATTCCTTCCGTTTCTAAAGGCAGCAGATAAAACCTGATAACTGATTATCTTATATAGATAGAATAAATTGTATTTCATTTCATATAAGACATGTCAGATGTCACCCTGGGCTTCATTCTTGTGTACTCTTATACATTCTGAATGCCACCTGCAGATGAGTTACTGTCGTAATATGAAATATGCATATGTATGAGGGTAAGACATCACAGTGAGTGGTAGCTGTAAGGTACTTGCAAAGCCATCCTTCTACAAAGTCTGTGGCATATTGGGCCTCACACAGGCAAGCAACAGAAGAATTGACACTAATGCCACCAAGGCAGCAGGAAAAGTCTCAAGATGGCTCTGCATTAGAAACAGAGATTGGTGGATGTTGGCTTAATGCTGTTGATCAGCATCAGCTGGGTGGCCTAGGCAAGAGTGTCTGATGTTGACATCTGACACACTCGTTGACCAAAGATCCCTTTACTGCTGATGAGTCCCCAAGCACTTATTATCCCCCTCCCCAGGTTTGCAAAATAAAAAAGTACTATTAAACATTTGAAGTTTTAGAAATACTTTTTTATCCATTTATGTAATTGATATTGTCATTAAGTGTGGTGAGGTGTTTGTGGAGGGGTCCACTGTGCTTTGGTAATTGAACCGTTTTGGGGAGGAAACGGTAGATACAGTATGAGTAAAGTGCTATAAAAGCAGAAGGTAGAGAGACAAAAATGTATTTTACAAAGTCAAAAAGTACGAAATCAGATGCATTTTGAAATCAAGGAAAACGCAAGTTTCTATACAGTGTAATCCAGATACAACAAGAGGCAGATGAGTCGGATCTACCCCAAAGGGACGAGGATGGACTCCTCCAACTACAACCCACAACCCTTCTGGAATGCTGGCTGTCAGATGGTAGCACTCAACTATCAGACTATGGGTAAGAGCTTCATTTTCATTTATTATGTAGTGTTCCTTCAAAGGGCCAGCAATATCATTTTAAATAATCAATATGCTATGATTCCTTTATGTTTAAAGTTTGCTTTTAAGAGGAGATTGTAATGCAGTTTTTTTCTTCTATAGGTCCTCATTGTCTATTAAATAAAATATATATAAAAGCATATATAATATCATTTTTCTCAAAAATGCCACTAGATGTCAGTGTAACGTAACTAACAATAACTTCAGATATGTTTTTCAAGTGTTTCTTCAACATACAGTCCCAGTTATTTTGTTATATACCCACCTGATTTGGAATTGTCAACTGCTAGTGGAGAAAACTTGGTTTTCCAGCAACAAATCCTGTAGCACATAAAGACAAGGAGGACCTGCAGACGTGTCCACCTCTTAGAGTCATTTACCATACCTTCTGATAGGCTGAAATCTCTGCAGTGTTTTACAGGACATTTAGTGCCAGTTGGAGGGACACTGTCTCTAACCATCATCAATTTATCACTGAAAGCCAAGAAAACCCTTGAGAGCTAAAGCCTGTTCTGCTCCAGCAGCACTCTGCCAATCATACATCACTGCTTGGTGAATCCTTTTTGCACTAGGCAAAAGAATGAGCACCTTTATTGGTTGAACCACTTGGTAGCCCTTAATAGCTTTTAAAAGTGTCAATTGTGCTGTCTATACTGTATACCTGTAGAGAATTGAGCATGCCTGTGCAATACAATGAAAATACAGTATAACAGAAAAATATTAAGGATTCAATTTGAGATGTTTGATGTTCTGTTCCCTTTTGTTTGCTAGATTTTCCCATGCAGCTGAACATGTCTTTGTTTGAATTTAATGGAAGGACTGGTTATCTCCTCAAGCATGACTTTATGAGACGGCCAGACAAGAAGTTCAACCCGTTTGCTGATAGGATTGACTCTATTGTGGCAACTACTCTGAAAATCAAGGCACGTTTCTCACCCTTTGCTGTTTTTTCCGATCTGCTTGATTAAGCTTACTTTTATTATTGCAGCTTGACTCTGACTATTCTGCTTTTTCATCACAATGCAAGCTTTCCAGCTGCTATAATACATTTTACTGCTCAAATGCTTACAAGCTTTAAAGGCCACCTTTTTTCCTTCTGCTTTTCACAAATACCTTAATTCTTCAGGATAATAATAAACATAAAAGCATTTTTTAATGAAGTCTGATTTAATGGTTGAAAAGAAAATAATTCCATTCCAATTCCAAGAGTGGTTAAGTTGGTTGGCTAAAAGGTTGAGGCTAAAAGATGTTTGGAAATGCTGTGACATTGACATGTTCAGTCATAATCCCACAGATGGCAGCTTCACACCCTGACTTTACACCTAAGCAGAGACTCACATGTCTGAACCTGCAGTTTTTCTCGCAATGAGCATGATTACTATTGCAATAACACCTCAGTAGGGTGTATAGTAGGTAAAACCAAAATGTCTAAACCTTGCTCACATTTCCTATTAGTGGGTGAACGATCCGCTGCTTGGCCAATTCTATTTCAGAGGGATAGGAAGAGCAGACATCCCTCTGAAACTGACATGACGTGTCAGCCTGTATGTTTATCGCTGACAGATCTATTCAGGCCAGTTCTTGACTGAGAAGAATGTGAAGACAGGTGTGGAAGTGGAGCTGATTGGTTTGCCAGGAGACCCCAAACGCAAGTACAAAACCAAGTGGTCACCCACAGCTAATGCCATCAATCCAGTGTGGAATGAAGAGCTGTTTGTGTTTGAGAAGGTGCAGTGTACTGTTTCCATTCAATTGTCTAAAATGTGTCTCTTTTCTCATTTGTACAGCATAGGCACTGACAGAAATAGTAGTAGCATTATTAGGAGTAAGAGTAGTATTGGTTGTATTAAACAGAAGGAGGAGAAATTAATGTAGTAGAACAAGAAGAAGTACTGTATAGGATCCTTATTAAGTTAAATCAGCCTATTCAGTCAACTGTGTCATGAAAAATGTGCCCAATTCAAGAGTTAGTAGTAGAAAGAGCAATAGTAACAGTAGGATCACGTTATGTCAGTCAGGTGTTATTACCACCACCCCCCCCCATCCAACTCCCAAAAAGTTGAAAGTTAGCAGTAGGTAAACCCCTATAATACACAAATGAAGAAAGGGGGTTCCCACAGAATGCAATAAATGATTGTACAACTGTGGTTTGCAACTGTGCTAACTGTGCTAGTTGTAGTATTAGAGGCAACAGTAGTGTTAATTAGTATAGTGATATGTGTAATGAGAGTAGCAGAGACAAGAACAGTAGTACAAGACTGTAGAGGAACAGAACAAGGAGTATTTCTTGCACTTTGTAAAATTAAAACCATCAAAATCCTCGTATCGTTACAACAGTATATATTATGTGTCTCTGCTTGCCAGTGTGAAACCCCTGGGATTAATAATCAGCTCTTCATCTCCACAGCATTAGAGAGTTTATTTGAATTGAACAAGCTTATCCTTATGAGAATAAATCAGATTGTAGACAGAATCTAAGTAACATTATGAGCTGTAAGTTTTAGAAATATCCTTTTCACATTTGATTATTTTACAACATAAAAAGATACTTCTGCTCTGAGTAATCAAAGCAAAAGCATTTTAGACCAGGAGTGATCTTGACCAACTCTGCAGTGATCTCTGATCTTGGAGAGCCACAGCCGAGCAGCTTTTTACATGTCTCCTTTAAAACATCAAATATCCAATCATGAGTCAATGTACTGTATCATTATTGTAGTCTACTTTTAGAGAATCAAAATGAAAATGTAAACATCCTATCTGAATCCTAACAGGACCAGAAGTGTCCGTTCATGATTAAACTACTGCCTAAATAGATAAAAACATACATTTATACACTGATGGTTAAGGATGATGTATTGCTCTCCTCGACCAGAATTGGGGTCCTTCCACCCTGATTGAGACAGCGTGATTTCATGCTTTATAAATTTGTCATTCAATATTTACCTCTGCAATGAATATTAATGTGGTGGTGTGGTGCTAAAGATTTTCTTTTTAATCTGGCAGATTCTTGTACCAGACATGGCGTCTCTCAGGATAGTAGTTCTTGAGGAAGGTGGCAAGTTCATTGGACACAGAATACTCCCAGTCTATGCCATACAGTCAGGTGACACTACCATTAAAATACATTTATAAGAGAAATATTATGAAATATATTTAAGATTTTATTAAATTTTCCTTTCAACCATTGAGTTCCAACTTTTGATTGTTTACTGTGCCAGATAAAGGTTTTACCAGAAATGTGTGGGAAGATCAGATCCTTGTCTCACCCACTTGCACTCTCCTACATATATATCTCCACCTGAACTCCTAGCTAATCCCTCATGAAAGCTGAAGGGTAGTTCTGTTCGCCTCCCCAACTACTGAAATTTTGTATAGCCTCTAAGCTTTGGTGACATAATTAGTAGAGTTACATAAATTACAACATATAAAAGGAGATCTTAGTATTCGACACTCCAGCAGAACAAAAGAAGAACTCTTCAGTGGTCGTGTAGTATAGTGCATAGTGGAATACTACTATACAAACTGTTTTACTGTAAAATTGTTTTGGTTTAGCTAAGTACAATAAGAAAGACTAGGTAACTGGAAAGTCAAAAGCTGTCCTTTGTAAAGTCCTTTTGCCTTTTGTGCTGTAGTGCTTGTATAACACTTGTTTTTACACCCCAGGCTATCAGCACATATGCCTCCGTACTGAAAGCAACATGCCACTCACTCTGCCTGCATTGTTTGTGTACATCGAGGTCAAAGATTACATTCCGGAATCTTTTGCTGGTATGTAATTTGAACGTACTCTTTCAACTTTACCCTCAAGCTGCTTTGTAAGTCAATATTATTTTAGCTGATTTATTTTAATAAAAGTGAAATATGGCATAAAATAATTAAATTACCGTTCTGATTTCCATTTCTCTATGGTGAAAACAGTAATTCAAGAGAATATACCATCCTCTTGTATATGAATATGGAGCTGGATTTCTATTGATTAAAACTTCTGGTAACTTCTGTTTATCTAGAAAACACTTAGAACATACAAAAGAAAAAATAATTTGTTCAACAATGACTGGAGGTACAGTACAGTACTTATTTTAATGAGGCTGGGCTCTGTAGCATTGATTTTAATTAACATATTTATTTTAATTTCAGGGTTCACAGATGCTTTATTTAATCCTTTAAAAGACAAGCCTGTGAAACCTAAGCCCGTAGAGGTAAGAAAATTAGGATTATCTATGTCCTCGGGAATTAATGCTGTGAGACTTTCTCTGTTTTTGCACAGGACTGATTTCAAATACCACTACCTAATTGGGATTTTCTCTGTGACAGCCTAGTGTGCTCCTGTGAATTCTTCTTTACATTCCTGTTAGTGACCTGTTAGTTACAGTACTTTATGGAGAAGAAACTAACATTTCTTAATTATATTTCTTGATTATATTTTTAAACTGTAGTTAAACGATGGATTAAATGAGTTCATAGAAGTATGTTTCTCAAGTCACATCAAATATCATGAATTTTTTTAAATCAAGAAATTCAAAGAAAAAAATTGATTAGGCTATTAGACTGAGCAACCAAGAGTTCATCTGGAGAAAAAAAACATCAGAAAAAACATTATTCCAAGACCAGTTCAGATTATCCCTGATTTAGAGACATTTCAAGATTGAGATAGTGGAATGTTTTTGTAAATATTTGATGTCTAACTTTATCTTAGCATCAGCCTGATGCTGAGGAGAAACCTGCTACTGAGACATCGAGTGATAAAACTTCTGAAACTCAAGTGGCTCCACAGCCAGAAATAAACAATGATGCAGGTGGGCTGGAAGAAATCTTCAAAACACCACTTATCGGTGGGGTACAGTATAGGAAATGTGGAATCAGAAGAACTATAAGTTTACAGTCTAGTTTGGTAGCTTAGATGAGGAGATGATTCCTTAAAGAGTACTGGGAATTCTAGTTTACTGTGTTTTGTACTGTTCAAACACTTAATTACCTGTGTGACATGGTACAGTAACTTGTTTAGCTGGACTAGTTTAACAGCTTTTCAGGTCTTTAGCTGTTAATGGTTAAGGGTGACATAATATAAAACTGCTGGATGTTGGCCTTTAAAGACTGTAGTAGGTTGGTCAAGCCAAAAGATATACCATATAAGTCACAAGTCTGAAAGTCATTTATCATTTGTTAGTTAGAATTAATGAATTAAAATAAAATATATATTTTTGAGACCAGTACTTAGTGTTTACTTTACAAACATTCAAAACAACAAAACAAAATTCTACCGCATTTCCAAACTTTAAGTATAAAAATAACCCCAAAAGTTTTACTTTTTACTTTAACAGCTGATATTCATATTCTAGGGTCTCTAGTAATTTTTTTTAAGTATTCCATATTTATGGAATTCACATTTCCCAAAAGCCAAATTTTAATTATCTTCTTCATCTTTCTATTATTTTTATCACATTTATCCCACAAGTAGGTAGGAAATCGATGGAAAGATGTGGAAATCTTTGTTAATGTTTTCTGTTTTCAGATGTTTCTGCCCCAGAGGCTAAAGTTACTCCTAACCCGGTGGATGATGCTGCTGAAATCACAACTAATAAATCTACGTCTGTTGAGCCTATCTCTGCCCAATCTGCAGAATCTCAGTCTACAGAAACAGACCCTGCTCAAATGTCTGAACCTGCTTCATCAACAGAACCTGACCCTATTCCTTCCACACTACCTGATCCTACCCCATCTTCTGAGTCTACTCCATCTGCAGAACCTGAGCCTGTCCATCCAAATGAACTTCCACAATCTATTGAACCAGACCCTGCCCCATCTACCGAACCAGAACCTCCCCAATCTACTGAATCTGACCCTGCCGCATCTACCAAACCAGAGCCTGTCCAGCCTATCGAACCTCCCCAATCTATTGAACCAGACCCTGCCCAATCCTCTGATACTGCACCCACTCCTTCTAGCGAACCTGAAGCTGCCCAAACTACTGAATGTGACTCTGCCTCACCTGCCAAAACTGAGGTCATCCTATGTTCTGCTGTAATCACAAACACATCTTCCCCTGAAGCGCCCGCTGACTCCACCAATGAATCAACAAGAACTGTTCCAGGTAAATGCAAATATTCCAGCTGGCAGCTCGCTCCTGTTTCTTGCACTTTTTTGTAATTCCAATACTAAGCTACTTTTTGATCACTGCTTTACAATTATAAGAAAAATCCACAGTAGTACTCTCTTTGCGTATTCTGGGTTCTGACTCACTGTGTCTGTGAAACATTTGTGTATGTACCCAGGAAAACTACTAAGGATATTAATCTACTTGGAAAAATTTAGAAGCTATGATAAAGGCTGTATCTTGGTGTGATTTTGAGAATTCTTTCTAACTTACAATATTTGCTGATTTTCTCTTTAGAAAAATATTTTTTGACTGTTTATGTTTAGGAAGAGTAGATTATTTTTCATAATTGTTATCTGCAGTATAAATCAAGACCTTTTCTATTTTCTTTAGAGCCTTCAACAACAACAGTTGAAGAGCTAAAGCAGCACAAGAATTTTGTTAAAACCACCAAGAAACAGGAGAAAGAGTTGAAAGAAATAGAAAAGAAGTTCCAGAAGAAAGCAGACGACATGACTCAGAAATACAGCACTCAGTTTAAGAACCTCAGCAATGCGGACAAAAAGAGGTGCCAGAGGAAGAAGGAGTAATGTTCTGCTTCATACTGCATTTTAGATTCACTTGCTTTCAAAGACAGATTTTCAGATTATGTTTCATTCCCACTAGATGGAGACCTTTGCTCAGTTCTTATTTCTTTCACTCCTCTTTCCTGTTCTACTTAAAACCTATATCCACTATACTCAGGAATTCACAAGTGCTGGTTTCTTACCTGCTCACAAACATGAACAGGAAACCTTTTTCACCCAAAACAACACATACTGTAAGAGAAGAGTATCAATTCAGTATTCCATGAATGCAGTGCATTTGTCTATGGTGCTCACTCTGCCATCTTCTCTCACAGAAGCAGTGATGACAAGTCAGATTCTAGTTCAGAGAAAGTAAAAGAACTGATGGAGAAATTCCACACAGACCTAAAGGCACTGTATGAGGAGCAATATGAGTTCATCAAAAAGAAGAAAGAACAGCACGGCTCAGAGGTACAGCAACTGCTGTCTCAAAATTACAGTAGTTTGTATCTTATTCAAATTCCTGCTGTGAAGAGAAAAAACCCCATAGAGGTCGAGTTGTTCCTAATTAAGCCAGTCAGCTTAAGCCAGAGTCAATATCATTGCTATTTAGAAAATGTCAATGCAGGTACACATCGTGCCAAACTCTTTATGCTATCATATTTCTTTTATCACTATGTATTTGCCCCTTTAAAATATTCAAAGACAACAATGACAATATGACATGCTAGATTTTATTAAAATGTGTCCTTGCAAAAATAATATTTCTCACTCCCTTAAAACCTTGTTTTGCAAGTACAGAATTTTTAAATACTGCTGCTTTAGACTGAATTGGAGTGCAGAGTGTTCTGCTAGATAACTGGTTGATTACTATCAATAGTGGGAGAAAATGGTGTTGTAATAAGAAATATCAAGACTTCCTACATAAATAAATATTTCACTTCTCCTTTCTATAGCAATCAACCAAGCTACTGGATATAGCAAAAGATAAACATGCAAGTGAGAAGAAGGCAATGAAAGATTCCCTTGATAGGTAAGATTTTATGCGCATAGTACCTCTCAACAGATCAGAGAACATACAGTATAAAGTAGAGAGATGATGATTCTAAAAGACAACTGGCTAGCAGCTACAGTAATGTTTTGCTAGTTTCTTCCTACATAGATCACATGGGGTGCAAGTGTTTCTGTTTCACAAATGTGACCTTTAGACAAGAAAGGATGCACTAAACATCATTTTAGCACCTTCAATATGACTGATGTTGACTTACACTGTCTAGTGGCCTGAGTTGATAGATCGATTGTTTTGTGGAGAATTGCCTAATCATTTTCAGGAAACAAAACATAATGAAAAATAAATAAATTCACTAGGAAGTGCAACCTAATAAAACGTAATTACTGTATATCCTCACATTTGTTTTCTTTTTCACTTATTGAACATATTGAAGTACTGTATAAGCTTGAACAAAATCCCCTGTTTTTGACATCCCTCTTTCCTACAGTGAAACCATTATCTATTAACGAATGTTTTATTTTATGCTATTACAATACGGTATGTTTAATGCATCTGGAAAGCTTTCAGAGTGGGCCTTAAGTCACTTATTACAGCTTAGATGGTTTGTGGATTGCTGTCATTTGTGTTCTGTGAAAAATGCATTTCTGGAGAATGAAAACTAATGATTATGAATTTATTTTTGATTGACTTATGAATGCTTATTTAAATATTTTTATTTATTTTGCTGTTGTCAGTGCATTTTATTTATTTTCCGCTTTAGCTATTTTGAAAATTGAGTCCATTTTGTTTAAGAATAAACAAAAATAGTTTCTGCACTATTTTTGTCTCAGATTATTTTTTGTGCATCCCCACTGTTATTCTGTCTTCTGTAATTTCCTGCAGTCAAACTAAAGGCATGAAGAAGAAACTTGAAGCAAAAAGGAATGAAAAACTCAATGCCTCAACCAAGTCTGGGTTAGACAAAGCTACACAGGAGAAGTACTGTATCTGGAATGAAATACTAATGTTTATGGAATTTGTTAGTAGTTTTGACATTGGAATGACAAAGTTGTGCTGCCTTAATACATTATCATATTTTTATTTTATATTTGTATTGTGTTAAAAAAATGTTTTTTAAGTTTATGCATGGGTTTCTATGAGAACAATTATAATACAACAGGGCGCAGATTAAGTATACTTCCTCTTTACCTTTCCGAACAGCTGAAATACACATAATGAAAACTTTAAAGTAAAATATCCCTTTACTTTTCATTTAAACATATCTGCTGCTTTGGTATTTAAATCTTCTCCTTTGGTCTTTTAGTACACTTTATGATCATTTAGCTGCATATTTGTTGACTGCTGTTTGGTAAGATCATATATATATATACAGTATATTGGGATCAGAGTATAGAAGCTAGGACATTGTGCATATTTAATTGTCTTGAAATTCTCCATTTATTTGGAGCTCTTCTCTACAGTATGTAACCATTATATCCATTTTCTGTATTCTCAGGACAAAAAAGGAGCTAAATAATGCCCTCACCGAAGAGGTGGTACAAATGACTAAAGAGGTAAGAACAATACAAATGGCTCCTGCAGTACCTCCCTTCAGTAACTATTAATCTAATGGAGTCATAAAGAAATGGTACAGAGCTGGTAAAATAAGCCAATCAAATTAAGGCTATTTCCTATACAGTATTTCCTATTATTGTTAGTCTATTTTAAGAATTAGGTGAAGCTTTCATTAAATATTGTAAGAATTTACAGAATGTTGGTACAAAATGTTTTAAAATCTAAGAAATGGATTTATGCGTTATCCTACAAAGAAAATGTGAGTTATTCTGCTATATGCTGTACATATGCAAATGGGAGAATGTTCTGTTCTTCTCTATGAAGTTCTGTTCTTCTCTTTATCAGTAAAATTCAGCTTTTATTTAAAAACAAAATACTTGAGCAAATTGCATTATTCAGCAGTACAATATGAAGATTGATCATTGAAAATGGCCTACTGATTATGAAAATCCAGTTAGCTATTTAACCCTGTAGAAAAAATATTGTTTATTTCCTTTTTTAAATTTAATCAACAGCAACTAAACCTATATAGGTCACAGTTTATCTGTACAGGTACATATAATCTTATTTTGATTTGTGTATATCAAAGGGAGCAATGAAAACGCTGTTGTTGCAACAATAAATGAAAGAGAGGAGCACAACGTTCACGAAAGCAGGTGGACACAGCAAAGGGAACCCAGTTAATACCAAGCACCTGTGCATTTTATTTTATTAATTCAATCATTTTTATTTTCCAGATACATTAAACCATGATATTTAAGTACAACATTTCAAAGCTGGAATAAGTATTTTGACAAATATAAAAATAGCGTTCATACAATAAAATCTGTTTACCTGTATATACCGTTTATATAACAGTTTTTGAATTAACAATTTGTAACTGGAATCAAATCTTTTAAGGCAGTACATTATCAGTTGAGCCCAAAATATTGTCATAAATTGCAGCATAACTTACAGCATGTCATGCAGAAATACATAGAACAATATAGTCAGATATGTTTACTGTAGGTTTTACAAGACCGCATACAAAACTCACATAACCACAAACACCAGAATGGAAACCTGGGTTTTCCTTCTGCACTTGATGTACTGTATGTAGACATACTGTAGATTTTTTTTGTTCCTGGTTTTGTAGCTGGCAGACAATAATGCTGTTCAACAGGAGATGCTAGAGAAGAAACAAGCTGATACTCTGGAGGAAATTAAAGGAATTACAAACCAGGTAAGAAGCACAATAAGTTGTTTTTTAAAAGGATTTACAATTTCAAATGAAGAACATTTGCCCCCCCAATGGCAGCCATAGTGATAGAACTTACTGAAATGGCCAAAAATAAAATCAGGAGTGATAGAATTACAGGAGGTGCCTAACTTCTCCTTTACAATACTTGGGACCGTATGAAGGCTATGATTTTGTTTAAAATATGCTTCTATTCCCTCAAATTGCAGAAGTGACCATTCTTTTCATTTAGTAACTATTGTTGTTGTTCAATAGAGAACTGTATTACATATCCCAAATTCTGGAATGCATTCATGCAACTGGCCTCTAACTGTATATTGAAAAACTTCTGTTCCTTTAATAACATTTTATTTGAGTTACTATTGAGCACATTTCAAAAATGAAATGCTGAAATATGTAAGTCATTATAAAGACAATATAAGTCATTATAAAAACCCCTGCCATGTTACAATAAGCAGTCTTGATAAAATGAGTTGGCGATAACACAATTACAGCAGAATGAATGGAAAAATAAACCAGAGAAATTATATGCATACATTTATATTTGGTAGCTTGGCCTCGTTCCACATACTGTATAAGGCTGACAGTTATATATTGGAATTACTTTGGGAACACCTGTACAGTTCCACTACTTCTGAATTTGAATCTGAACCATTAAATACATTTTTTTCTGTGCACGGTTTGCCCTGTATTAAGTAAACAAGAAGTATTATAATTTGAGATGGGTGGCACAGTCACAGAGTGGTTAGCTGTGCTGCACTCTGGGGCCCTGGGTTTAATTCTTGGGGTGGTATCTGTGTGGAGTTTGTACAGGATGTTCTCCACATGTTCCTAGGACTTCTCTGGCTCCCCTGTCAGTCCAAAGATATGCTAGTAGGTTAATTGGCTTCTGTAAAAATTGTCCCCAGTGTGAGTGTGTGCATATTTGTGTCTGTGTGTGCCCTGCAATAGATTGGTGTTCCATCCAGCACCCAATGCTTCCCATGCTAGGATCAGGGCCACTGTAACCCTGAGTTGGATGAGTGGTTGTTGTTGAAACTGATGGGATGAGATTTGAGATTGCCAGGTACAGTATGGTAAAGATTAGATTCATTCCACGTTACTTCTAACAAAGTGAATATTGTTTTTTCTCAACGCCTCAACAGCACAGTGAGGAAGCAAATGCTGAATATGAGGAGAAAATGAAGTCTCTCCTCAGCCGTATCCACGAGGCCGTGAACTCTTGTGTTAGTCCTCACTTCCCAGACCAAGCAGAAAAACTCCTGGAAAACAAGGCTGCTGCCATTGGTGACCCAGATTCAAGTTGTCAATATGGTGATGTCTATCTCGGCTAGAGCCACAGTACCTCAGGTTTTGTTTTATTGGGGTTCTAGAAAAACACTTATTTATTGTAAAGTTTAATATATCGAAATGAACTGACTTGTTTAAAAATCCTGAGAAACAAAAAAGTCTATACCGACTGGAAGATCAGGAGGATATCATGCTTTTCCTTGTTTTAATCATGGAAATGAGAAAACTATTGAGAAAACTATTGAGAAATCATTTTTAATATCTCAATACCTGAATGGTAATATGTTATAGAATAGGTGACAACCTGATTAAAACTGTTAGGGTTATACTATCTCTCTGCTCTACACTCCCTCAGTTTTCATCTTTCTTTGACCAAATTACATTCAAAACCTTGTGTGATGGTTTTCAACCAAAAAAATAGAAGCAGCTTTCAAAAAAGGAAAATTTGCTTTTTAAAACCATGTTCCAGATAATATGAAATGATTACAAATGCAACTGTTAACCTACTTACAAAAAAGTCTCCCTGTAACCCATCTATCAATAGCAACAAAGCAGTAAATTACATTTTCACAGCTCAATTCAACTTCTAGCTACCTACTGTATGGCCTTATTAATTTAACACACCCCCCCCCCCATACTTACATTCATCACATTATCTGGGGGAAAAGTTAATTAATCTGGAAAATGTACTGTTATTGGTTGACAAGTTCATAATCATAGAGTAAAATGATTAGAAAGCATGCATTATTTTTGTTGGATTCATATCTAAAATTATTAGAGAATATTAAATATTTTATTATGTTTTCTGGCCAGAACTAGATTTATGTACATTTCGTGAAGCTGTCTGTTATATTTGGAAAAAATATTTATTTATTTTTAATTTCTTGTTTATTATTTCCTATTAGGTAAAACTACCAATGGATTGTAATGTATAGGAATGACAGGAGAACAATCTTAGTTTCTATTTATTCTTGTTGCTTTCAGGAAAGGAAAAGGATTCTGGTTAAAAAAAATGAGTTTAATTCAAAATAGAAATAATTTTTGACAGAGATTAGAAAGAGGCACGCTAATTTTGGTATTATGGGGTCTTAATAACACTATGCACTGTTTTTATGAGGGATTTTTTTGTAACTGAATTCACGAATAAACATCAACGCCAAAAACAATTTAGATATTGTAAATCACACTTTTTGCTTATCATCAAGCACTAGGACAGAGGCAATAAAAGACCAGCCTACTTGTGTTTTAAACAATTGAAATCATGAGCATAATGTATTTACATTCTTATTAATACAGTAGAATGCTTCAAAATACTGTACTTAATAAACAATGATAAAGTGTAAATGTAGGACTTGATGACAGCTTTCTGTAGTTCCAGTTGACCCTTCCTTTTCAACAGGAAACCCATTAGATACCATGACTGGATGTTCTATTGACAAGTGGATTTGATTTCACCTCTGATAAGACTTTAGGTACTAACAAATAAATATTTGTTAGTACCTAAAGTCTTGTCCCGGGTGAAATCAAATCCTGAGAAATCCCAAAAAAATATTTTAAAATAAATATTTGACAAATATTTATTTTAAAATAAGTGAGTCCTGCTATAAAAGCTTTGTAATTTTAGGTCACCTGTTGAAATACAGTTTTTCCAGGATGCACCACCTCTTTGCAGGTTACTATGAAAATGCTTAAACAATCTGAGCTTTTTTTAATTGTGTAAATACACATTCTGGCATTTGTTTAAAACAAACACTAAATTGACTTGTAAGAAATACGGTACCTGAAAATTACATTTCTCCTGTTTTAGCCTTTAAAATATTTTCTAATTAGTTCATTGCTATGTTCTGAATTATCCTTTGCTATGGCACTGCATTTTAAACTACATTTTAAAGAAAATAATCCCAAAGTAAATATAGTATTAATTTATTTCTTATAGTACTTTTATATTTATTTGATCAATGCAATATTCTATTACTTTGGTGTTATGTAGAATTAAATATTACAAGGTTGTAGGGAAACATATAATACTGTATGTAATATTAAAAAAGGGTTGGTTGCCATATCTTTGGGTGTATGCAGTGTTTTTCTTAAACTGGTCTTTGTTGCTTTTTGCTCTATACTGTAAATGCTATGAACAAGAAACCTCTGAGAAATTGGAATGTCATAAAAACACTAGACTTAACATCACTTGTACAATAAAGTATGCCATTCAAAATATTGAAGATAGATAACTAATTACTGTACTGTATATGCATACAGATTTAATTATATTTAGTAGTGGGAGAGCAGCATGTATAGTCATGTATCTGAGCATATGCTTGTTTGCAAAAACAAATCAATACACTCTTGTACAGAATATCTGTTACCATCCAATTTGTGATTTCAGTCCTGGTCCCATCCCATAGGATTCCAGTTTTTTATAAGGTGTTTAATCTCTTAAATAGAACTAAAGACTTCAAAACAGTTGGCTTTGGATGTATACTGTGGTACCATCCACTAATCTCCTTTAATATCGTATGTAGTATTAAGGGCAAACAACCTGTAGTGTTGTTTAAGGAAACACTCACTGACTCACTGAGTACTGATCTTTGTGAGATACTGAAAAATATCCAGGTTGTGAAACACCACATTGTGAGTCACTCTGCGATTGTATTTAAAAGAACTTTACTGAAAGATTTGCTTTGACAATCTGCCTCATATAAAGGATTGTTAATCGCAAGGTTCCTCTCAGACAATCTTGGCTTTAGAAGAGAAAATTTCAGAATTTCTAAGAAACCAGATACAATGGGAAAGGTAAGAGTGAACTGAAATAACTTTAAGAAAGAGGGCACTGAAACTGGGGAGTAAGGTTACAGAATGTTACATGGATTTTTTAACTACAAAATGTTATTTTAATGAATAAACATTTTAATAAAACCATTTTATTTTATTTAAAATGTTCATGGCAAGAATTAAGCAATCAAAAAAGCATGAAATGAATGAACTGCAAGTTTAACTACATTAGTTAAGCATCAGTGCCAAATGAAGTTGTTGATTTGATTTAGCAGGTAGAAAACACATGACACACTTCAAGTTCTTAAAAGCCAAAATAACTAAATAACATTCTTCTGTATAACATGCAAATGAGCATTTTATTGCACTTGTGCATATGACAAAAGAAAACGGAACTGAACAGATTGTGCCTTTCCAGGGAGCAATACACTGCTGTAAGCACCAGCACTGAATTACAATTATTGCATACACATTTAAGTGGGTAATTCACTGGGACCCGAGGAAGTGATCACAACATACAGTATAACAGTCAATTAAAAAAGAATCAAAGGGAAATCAATCAATATATAAAAAGAATACAAATAGCACAAAAAATATTTTAAAAAGTAGAATCTCTGAAAATATTTCAAATTCCTTAAGAATTTGCTTAGGAATTACTCAATTGAAGTACTTCCCAATTACATTAAATAAAAAATACAGTAGCTATTCTTCAAATGAAAATGCAGTCCGGCAGGAGGGTTGTCAGTGGTAACTGTCTGTAGGCAGTGCCCTGTGCAGCACCCAGCTGCAATGATTAGGCAGAGGGCGAGAGGGTGAGTGTAAGTGTCACTCCACCTACACACACTGCACTTCCTGTCAATTAACAAGAGGCTACCAGGCAGCATTTACTCATGTAAATAGCATTAATAATAGAAAAACAACTCTAAACTCTTTGAGCAGTTACACTGTGGGCATGTTAAATGTCAAGTAACATCCCAGTACTGCCATGGCATTACAGTTTTCTTAAGACACAGCAAATACCATGTCAACTCATTTTAACATACTGTAGACATCCTGGTTTGTGAGACGGTGAATGGATGGATGCAAAGGATTAGCCTTTAAAAGCGTACTATATGTCTCAGTTATTTGTAACTACTGTAACTGCAAATACAAACACAACAAACCTTGAAAGAAATGTTCCTTGAGGGAAAATTCTGCAAATCATACTTTGGATAGGGAATGTGCTGAATTGGCTGTGAGAAAATTAAAACAGAAAATGTTTAGATTAGAATCTTATAGAAACTACAGCTATAAAATTGCTCATTTTGGAGCTCATAAACACAACAAATACATTATGTGGCCTAGTCAATCTCTTGAGCTTTAAAAGAAAATTCCAACAACAGAGGAGTCTAAGGACTTGATGGGCTAATCATTTTAAGACAACATCAATATAGGATATATTGTCATGTACTTTTGCGAAAGTACAAAATAAAAGCCTTATTAAATGAATGGTACAAATCTGAATTATTTTTTAGATTTAAAGCAAATCTTGCATTGTAATTATTTGTCTATCTTACCAGACCTATGGTAAATGTATTTAAGAATTAACTACAATTTAAAATTAACAACTTAAAAACAGCGGTAAGGTAGTGAATTAGGCTGACAGTGACCCTACTAATCAGCCTGCATGTAACATAATAAGATTATTCATAATAATAATTGCTTACAGTTATATAGCGCTTTTCTGGACGCTCCACTCAAAGCGCTTTAAAGGTAATGGGGACTCCCCTCCACCACCACCAATGTGCAGCATCCACCTGGATGATGTGACGGCAGCCATAGTGCACCACTACACTTCCCACACACCAGCTATCAGTGGGGAGGAGAGCAGAGTAATGAAGCCAGTTCAGAGATGGGGGTTATTAGGAGGCCATGATTGATAAGGGCCAATGGGAAATTTGGCCAGGACACCGGGTTTACACCCCTACTCTTTTTGAGAAACACCCAAAGAGATTCAGGACCTCGGTTTTACGTATCATCCGAAGGACGGTGCCTGTTTACAGTATAGTGTCTCCATCAATATACTGGGGCATTAGGACCCACATGGACTGCAGGGTGAACACCCCTGCAGGCCCCACTAACACCTCTTCCAGCAGCAACCTTAGTTTTTCCCAGGAGGTCTCCCATCAAGGTACTGACCAGGCTCACACCTGCTTAGCTTTAATGGGTTGCCAGTTGTAAGTTGCAGAGTGATATAGCTACTGGCTGTCAGGTACATAGGTACAGTAACATAGGTAACATAGGTACAGTATATCATTAACAATATCCTGGTTATTGCCAAAGCTGACCTCTATGGCAGAGTGGAAAACCCACCTCATTTCCTACACAGAGCATGGAGTGATTATGTGAAAATGTGGCAAAAGGTGTTGGGGTCAAATGGCACCATTCTGGAAATTTTGAGGTCTAAATTGCTTGGCATGTACAGTAAAAAATGTGGAGGTTTGGCATGTGGATGCTAGCCAACACCATCCCTACAGTCAAGCTTGGTGGTGGTACAGTAGCTGTGTGCTACAGTATGTGGATGCTTCTCCTCATGTATGGATTAGAAAGCTTGTTAGGACTGAAGGAAAAATGGACGTCTCCACCTCCTGATCAGCTACAACATGTTGAATAGAAAATGTATCTCTGATTAATTTTAATAAATCTTTGCAATTTTTAAACCAAACCCTTCATTTGAAAACACATGCGATGAGGCTTTTCGGCCTATATTTATTGTTTGCTTGTATTTTATTGACCTATTTCAAAAATATAACTTGGTACAGTAGCTTGTTCCAGACCTCATATCCCTTTTTGTAAAGCACTGTTTCCTGTTTTATCACACATAACCAGCTTTCCAAAAATGGCTGGAAATTCATATTTCCATTTGTCTTCTTACAAAAATGGAAAACAATGATGCATATTTGCTCCATGTGGGCTACTTTGATTTTACAGCTTAAAAGTTCACAGGTACAAGCAAATCAGCCATGAAAAAATTAGATCACTGATTCCTGTCATGTAATATAATCTGCCCATTTGACAGCTAGGGATACAGCACTCAGACCAATCTGTCATAGAGAAGGGATCCAAACTGAATAGGGTTTTGTAATTAGAGTCTAAACTCACACCTTCAGAAAGATGCTGAGAGAGGAGATGGTGAAGCTTAGCTAATCAGCCTTAAAATTAAACCAAAACACATGGCAAAGCTGACAAGGCACTGGACCCTTTCCAAAAGCCATGTCTTTTGCCTCCCTGAGACTTCTTTGAGAGGTGCCTCTTGAATTTTAATTAGTTCATATTTCCGAGGTTCCATTGCAAGCTGGAGTGCAACACTTTAAGTCTGCTGAGGCAATTAATGCACTTCTTCCTTGTTTTTCATAACCATCTGGAAATGGCGTTGCCTAGTAATTTCTCTATAATGGCAAAATACTGCTATTTTTAAACTGAATAAATATATTCACAGGCCACTAAGAGATGAAGCTTGCAATCGCTGGGTAAAAACATGCATGATCGATGTATTCGAAAAAGAAAGGATTTGCCTTGTCATGATAGATGTAGAAAAACTGTGAAGGTTAAAAAAAAAGAGGACAAAGTCCATGACAAGGAAGTATACAGTATATCAAGCCCAGTTAATCATTTGCGTCACAGGCACACACTATAGAAAATTGATTTAAAGAAACTGCAGCAAAAGGTTTTCTCTGGAATTTCAAATCATAAAATAAGTTGTCACTGATTTATAAGAAAACACAACCAACCTGTTTGTAAACATCAAAAACAACAAAGTGCCTGACTACCTACAGTACAGTATGTGAATCTGTACAGTACATCAGTGCAGATTGTTTTTGAAACTGTACAGGGATAGATAGTTCAAGGTGAAGCCAAAGTCTTCAGTCAGTTAGGCTTCATGTTTTGTTTATTCCTTACAGAGTGGAATAATTTAAAAAATATCGTTATTGCATATACACAGTATTATGTATTTCTCAAGATAATGGAAGATATATACAGTGCCTGCTTTAAAGTTTATAGTTTACAGACAGCTTGACGTATAAAATAGGTTATATATTTGTTATATACAAAACCTACTCCACACATTCAAAAAAGAAGATAATGTCTATGAATGCAAATTAATATGAATAAAAAATGGAAAAATCGTGAATGCATAAGTATTTTAACCCTATAGTGTGGCAAACCTAAATTACTTTAATGATCCACAAAATTAATTGAATGACCTGAAAAATCAAGACCAACATTTCATATATAGTAATATTCGGCAGAAGTAGATATGATTCTGCCTTACAAAAGTATTCAGACTCTTTCTCAGCTCTTTCAAAGTTGTTACTGACCATCGGTTTTCTCCTTGTTTATCCTCATCCTTTGGAAGAATGATCAGTTTATCCTTATTTGATAAAAATGTATTAATATAATTATTAATAACTTCTGTTCTTTATCTTTTTGAACTATTTTAAGACTATCTTACAAAGCAAGGTAGCAGTTATCACCCTCTATGACATTTAAAGGGGACAGCAGCTATTCTGTCTACTGTCTCCTCTGTCAAGTGTGGATTTACACTTTTTGGATGCCTTTCTGAAATGTGATTTTAGAATTCACACTGCTTGGTTTCCTCTACAATTTTTTTAAATGTTTTAAACCTAGAGTTTACCTAATTCCATCTTATTGTACAGTAAGTAATATTGTCATTTTCCTAAAAACAGCAAAATATTGTAAGTAAGATTTATCTGTAATGTATTACATTTGCTGAAGTATTTTAAAAAATCAGTAAACAATGTTTGTAAGGAACATAGCTGTAATTTCTGTAGGTAATATAGCACATTTAAAATGCAATTAGAAAGCAACAAATATTTTCTTACATTCGCCACCTCAGAATTAAAAAAAAAGTGTGAGTGTATCATTTACCACCAACAATTTTAGCTCAGGTGTCATAGTAATAATTCGTAAGTGAACTGCTAAATCAGGGCTTCCCAACTTGTGACACTTTCAATCTAGTTTATTGCACGATTTGTTGCAACCATCAACTTAATTATTACACTCATCTTACTGATTATTAATTAGATATTCATAGAGCTGGACTCTGCAATGGTCTGAAACGGAAGAATCTCATATTGCCACATTGCTAAACACCTATTTCCTTTAACACACTACAAGTCTCTGAAAAGAAAGAAAAAATAATAGTTTTATTGATAGCATTTTCAGGAATGAAAAAGTAGCTACAGCCTTGTTTTTTTTTCTGAATATTTTTCAAAAATGTGTTTATCCACTACCATTTTGCTAAAATACAAGATTAGTCTGTCCTATGAATTGTATATGTGAATTGAAATGTGTAATTGTGCTGCGATGTCATCAATGGCATCAATGGCATCGCCTGTTGCAGAACTGTATTTAATTAGATTTTGTTATCCTGTCCAAAAAGTCTTTTGAAGATCATCTAAAATTTACATTTTAGACATTATATATTGATTGCCAGCCCTCAAGTAAGAAAGTAAAAGCTGTCTGAATCTTTGTAATATCTCAAAACATGACAATACCTGGTTCTGTCAACATCTTCACTTTAGGGACAGAACCAGGATTGCTCTGAAAATGTGCTTAATGAAATTCCAAAATTTCTTCTGTTCTCTGCTGATGGTACTGTATATCAATCAATCCTTAGCTGCAACAACCCCCCAGACTGATTTTACTTTTAAGATGAAAGATGTTGGAATTAATTAAGAACATTGTAGTTTGAATGTACAGGGAACGTGAAATAAAATGATAGCTGCCAAATTTGATACATACTGTATTAAACTGAATTTGTCAAATGTTCAACTCAAAATTGTACACGTATAACATAAAAGAAAGAAACCTGAAAACAGGAAGCAGTACACACTTTGAAATTAAAATCTTTATTTATTTTTATTAATATTTGTCATCTGGCATAAGCTTCAGTCCTTCCAATCACAATGATGCACAGCAATTTCATCGGATAAATATTTTCCCCTTATTATTCAGTGACATTAGGAGCTTAAGGGATTTAGAGCAAAACGTTTCCATGCCTTTGAGCAAAAATTACAGTTTATGAAGTTTAAAGTTACTTCATTCACTACTAAGCAGTTCAGATTTAACAGAATTGTGAATGTTACACTTTAAATCGGAATAGTCTAATACTAGTCTATGAAATGTCCTGCACACCAAAAGACACATGCTCAAAATATATTCTAGTCTTACTAGAAATATATAGTACTGTGAACACGAGTACTAGGGATACTTTATGTAAAAAAATCATTGTAATACATGCAGTTTTTCCATGTGATACAGATAGTGAATTACATAAAGGGTTATGCAACATGTTTAATTTTCTTTGAACTACAAAATAAAAGCTCCCTAGGGCCATCACAGCCCAACACAATCCAAAGTACTCACACTTTACCCAACAACATGATTCCCTTTCCATGCCATTTCTTTTTCCAAGAAAATTAGTTGTTTTATTTTTTTAAATAGTCCCCTCCTAGCTTTCCAATGCATTGCTTTCCAGCTGCACCACAGCCCATGATTTCCCTAAACATAATTTAGTATTACCACAGAGACTTAAGTCAAAACAGCTGAGCAAAAGGTGACACGATGACAGATAAATTTTCCCTTTCTCTCTAATCATTTGGCATACACAGCTTGCAGCATCATTCAGATAAATTACTTCCGCTCTATCGCATACTCAATGAAGGTTAGCTTTTTAAATGTTTTAGCAGGCTTTAATGAAGTTTTCCTCATAAACAAGTCTGTTTTAGATTCAGTAGAAATAAACACTTCTATAGCACAAAATGAAAATCTGCTATAGCAAAGGAAGACTTTGTAAGAATAAATACTGAACAGTGCAGTACAAAGTCTCTAAAACCTGATAACATAGTACTGTTATTCATGAGAAATTACACTCTATAGTTACGAATTTGATTCATACACACATATTTCAAAGAAAACCTATTAGTGTGAATAAATGTATTCTGTAAGAGCTACATAAAGAGCAGAAAGGTACACAACAATGAATGCCAAATGATTAGTGCAGCACGTTAGGAAAAAGCTACAGTTTTGCCTTGTGTCTTTATCACAAACTTCACCAAGTCAAGTGAACTCAAAATTAATTGATTAGACAGGGGACTTTTTAATTTAATTTGAGTACTGACGGTGTCGGTAGGTCCACAAAATCCTTTTTGTTTTGGGGTTTTAAAAAAGAAATGTGCCAAAAAATATACCTCAGCAATAACTGGCTTGTGGTGACCAAGCATTCAGAATAAAGTTGCCTTTTGATTCTTCAGTAAGCACGCATCTTAACAAGTTGCACAATTATTTGCAACTTTTAATCTAAGCAACAATTTTAGTAGAAACACCAAGGTAGTGGTTAAGATTTTTATTTTTCCTATCATAAAGTAAATTCTGCTTTCGTATTTGATATACATTGGTCCTAGTGTCGCACTGTACATGCTTTACAGGAATAACTACAGGGGTACATTGCAGCCATTGCCTCCATAAAGCAGGGTAGTGAATCTCACTGTAAATGACACATTTTTACTTTTTAATTAACTGTTAAATATTTTTATTCTGTAAAACCCATACAGTGCCACAGACTTAAAGAATGTGGATTATGAATATGAACAAGAAGTATGTAAATTTGGGATTGGTAACCAACATTTTTGTTTCTGAGATTCTAATTTAAGAACATAAAAGTTCAGCTATTTATTTTACGTCAGAAATTCATGTTGAGACGTTGAGACAATTTTAATTATCCCATGAACTCTTTTAATATAAATGAAAAAAAATGTTATGAAACATTAGTTATGAGACTTTAGAGTCAATTCAGGTCAAATTGCCATAATACCTTTTTTACAATATAAGAAATGTTCTAATTTTTATTCTGTTAAATATATAAAAATGAAAGAATTCTTAAATCACTTGTCAATACGATCGCCAGTGAAGGTTGTTTTGACATTCTCCAAGACAAATATCAGTTATTCATACATCCTTATCTAATTCAAACACTCAATTTTAAAACTAAATAAAATAATGAAAACTGTTTCACCTTCAATCTTTTTAGGATATAAGAGAATTGAAACATTACTGACCAGATTCTGTCCATTTTTTTAATTTGATAGTGACCAGTAATAGCAGAAAAATATGTAGCTGAAGTTGATTTTTGTATTGTATTTTGGTAATGCTATTATTTTACATAGCAGTTCTATTATTTGTCTTTCTATTTGGATTTGCATTGTCTACATAGCATATTACAAAGGATGCTTGATTAAATCCAGATTTGGTCTGGAAAATTATTCTTTAACACCCATGTGAGGTCCTACCACTGACTAGGACTGCTGTCCACAAAGTATGTTACACTGTTGCTGCATTAGTTTTCATTAGTGCTGTATTGTATTTTCTGAAAAAAAGGTACTTTAATATAAGATGTATATAAGATGTAGTTTCACTATTGAAAAGAATCCTTGTTAACAAACTGATCGTTAGCCGTCTGTGATGATTCCATTATGCATTAATCTAATTAATTCATGTAGTTAGGTGAATTAAAACATAAAATACAAAATACTCAAAAGAGCAGCAATAAACAACCAAGAGTGCTTTGTAATATGCAAATTATGAAAAGCCACTTTCATTGTCATTGATCAGTACTTAAAAGATGAGCAAATGGAAAGTGAAGAAGAAAATTTTGAGCATTACAAATAAAATTAAGATTAACTTAAAGAGCGACTACACATTTTTAGCAAGTGCGGAAACAAATGTAAGGACATATAAGGTAAACATTGTATACAATAATAAGAATGTTTTTTGCCATACTGTATAGAGTGCAATGTTGTGTTGTGAATTCACCTAGCACAAAAATTCAACAGTGAAATAATGTTTTAGAAACCCCCTGTAGACTGGAGATGAAACATATCTAACTATTCTTTATCAAGTGATTTCATGCCAGCTCCATCACGGGTTTTGGCTCGAAGCTTGTTTACCTGAGACTCGGCAATGTCAGCTCGTTCCTCAGCTTCCTCCAGTTCATGCTGCAGCTTTCGGAACTTGGCCATGTTGGCATTAGCCTGCTCCTCTGCTTCCTCTGCTGCTCTCTTATAGGCCTTCACCTTCAACTGCAACTTGTCTACCAGGTCCTGGAGTCTAGCAATGTTCTTGCGATCTTCTTCCGTCTGGTAGGTGAGCTCTTTAATGCGCCTCTCATACTTTCTCACTCCTTTGACAGATTCTACGCTCCGTTTTTGCTCTGCCTCAAGCTCGTTCTCAAGCTCTCTAACCCGAGCTTCCAGTTTTTGGAGCTGCTTCTTCCCTCCTTTCATTGCAATCTGTTCTGCCTCATCCAAGCGATGCTGTAGATCCTTGATGGTTTGCTCCATGTTTTTCTTCATACGTTCCAGATGAGCACTTGTGTCCTGCTCTTTTTTCAGCTCTTCTGCCATCATGGCAGCATCAGTGATGGCTTTCTTGGCTTTCTCCTCTGCATTTCTGCATTCCTGCACTGCCTCTTCAACCTCATTCTGGAGCTGGACGGTATCTGCTTCCAGCTTCTTCTTCTGATTAATCAAACTGGTGTTCTGAGTGTGCAAGAGCTGCATTCTCTCTGTGGCCTCTGTAAGTTCCTGCTCTGCCAGTTTACGGGCACGATCTATTTGTTCAACAACAGCTCGGAGTTCCTCCAACTCTGCTTGCATCAAGTTGTTTCTGCGCTCCAAAATTCCAATGTTCTCCTTAAGGTCTTCATTTGAACGCAGGGCATCATCTAATTGCATTTGGCTGTCTTTCAGGTATGCCTGGACTACCTTCAGTTGCTTCTGGGCATCAGCTGCTTGTCTGTTGGCTTGGCTCAGCTGGATTTCCATTTCATTGAGGTCTCCTTCCATCTTCTTCTTGATTCTCAAGGCCTCATTCCGACTACGTGTCTCTGATTCTAAGGATGTCTGTAGAGAGTCCACCATACGCTGATAGTTTCTTTTTGCCTGCTCCATTTCCTCATCTTTTTCACTTAGTTTACGTTCAATGTCTGCTTTATCTTGGTTGAATTCTAGTTGGGCGCGCAGAATTTTGCCTTCTTCATGCTCAAGAGAAGCCTCTGCTTCCTCCAGGGCAGATTGCAGTTCAGTTTTCTCTTGCTCCAGCTGTTTTCTTATTTTTTCTAACTCATGAACACTCCTCCCTCCTTCACCAAGCTGGTCAGTTAGGTCAGAAATCTCTTCTTGCAAATTCTTGTTTTCTCTCTTAAGTGTCTCTAGATGATCCAGCGCTTCCTCATAAGCATTCTTCAGTTTAAAAAGTTCTGTGCTCAGAGACCGGGCCTCTTTCTGGGCAGCTTCCAGCTCACACTGCGATTCCTCAAACTTCTGCTTCCATTCAGCCATTACTTTGTCAAAGGTTCTCTGCTTTTTGTCCAGAGCAGCAGAAGCAGCGTTAGATTTTTCCAGGTCTAGCATAAGATCTTCAATCTCATTCTGCAGGCGATGTTTGGTCTTTTCTAAGGAGGAACATTTGGCATTAACAGCCTCAACTGCTTCCTCGGCTTCCTGCAATCTCTGAGCAAGTTTCTTTTTAGCTTCTTCCAGCTCCTCTGTTCTCTGTATAGCATCAGTTTCATATTTGGTTCTCCACTGTGACATTTCACTGTTAGCTTTGGATAGGAGTCTCTGTAGCTCTGCCTTGGCTTCCTGCTCTTCCTCATACTGTTCCCTAAGAAGGTCACAGTCATGACGAGCAGACTGAACAGCGTGAGCAAGAGCATTTTTTGCTTTAACTTCTTCTTCAAGTTGTCTGCGCAGGTCTTCCAGTTGCTGACTATAGGATGACTTCCCTCGGGTCAGCTGAGAAATTAGACACTCTTTCTCTTCCAGCTGGCGACTTAGCTCACCATTTTCAGTGAGCAGCTTGGCTCTCTGAGTGGTTAAATCATTGAGTGCTCGTTGATTTTCTTCAGACTTGGATCTGTATTCATTCGTTTGGTCTTCTAGTGTGCGGCACATCTTCTCCAGATTGGCTTTGGCTTTGACTATCTGCTCCATGTTGGAGGCAAAGTCATCCAGCTCTAGTTTTAACTCACTTTTCTCTTTTTCCAGTTTCTGCTTAACCCGCTGGAGGTTGTCAATTTGTTCCCCTAGTTCTGCCACACTATCAGAGTGTTTCTTTCTCAGAGCAGCTGCAGTGGCTTCATGCTGGAGAGTAGCTTCTTCTAAGTCTCTCCGGAGCTTCTGAAATTCTGTCTCTCGTTTCTTATTCAGTTCCACTTGGGCAGATGTGGCTCCCCCTGCTTCCTCAAGACGTTCGCTGATTTCCTCAAGTTCACGTGAGAGATCAGAACGCTGTTTCTCTACCTTAGCACGAGCTGCACGCTCAGCATCTAGCTCCTCTTCCAGTTCTTCAATGCGTGCTTGGTTTTCCTTTAGTTTTTTCTGAAATTGAACTGCTACCACCTGCTCATCCTCTATCTTGCTGTTCAGCTGGTTTATCTCAAAGTCTTTTTTCTTTAGTTTCTCTTCCAGTTGTTGTTTGTCATTTTCTAAGTCCATCACATTTTCTTGTGTCAATTTCAGATCACCCTCCAGCTTTCGCTTGGCACGCTCTAAATCCATTCTGACTTTCTTTTCCTGTTCTAGGGAGCCTTCTAATTCATCCACTTGTTGTTCAAGCTTGCATTTGGCCTTTGTCAATGTATTGACTTTGTCCTCTTCACATTGAAGATCATCTAGTGTCTGCTGGTGTGCCTCTTGCAATGCTTTCTTCTCCTTTGTCAGTCTTACTATGGTCTCATCCAGAGAAGCCATCTCTTCAGAAAGATTTTTAACTTTATTTTCTGTGGCATGTTTCTCTTTTTCGACCTTAGCTAAGGTCAGCTCCAGGTCATCAATGTCTTTTTTAAGCTCCGAGCACTCATCCTCCAGCTTTCGTTTCTTAGAAATGAGCTCAGCATTCATTTCTTCCTCTTCTTCCATTCGCTCTGTTATTTCTTTCACTTTGGCTTCTAACTGGATTTTACTCTTGATCAGCTGTTCACAGCGTTCCTCTGCATCAGTTAAGGTATCTTGTTCAGACTGTAATTGGAGAAGTAGGTCATTTTTTTCTTGTAAGAGCGACACCATCTTCTCCTCCAGTTCTTTGCGTCTGCCTTCGGATTTATCAAGAGCCTCTTTGAGCTTGGAAAACTCCTCCTTCATATTAGCCATTTCTTTCTCTGACTCTGCACTCTTCAAAAGTGGCTTGATTTTGAAGTAAAGTTTCATCCATGGCCAATTCTTTACTGCCATGAAGGCACGGATATTCCATTGGATTACCATTAAAGCATCTCTTCGCTCCACCAACTTCTTGAATTCTGCTCTCATGAGCAGAGCTCTAGAGTTTGCTTGAATTCTTGTGATGATACGAGCAAGTTTATCATCTCTCATCTCTTCCAGTGTACCCAGAAGACCAGCTTTAAAGAAAACTTTGGTGTGCCCAAATCGATATTGATTATGGTCAATGTCCAAAGACCCCAGGAGTTTCTCAGTACCTTTCTTACTATCAATAAATTGCCCTTCTGGTATTGCAGCAGCATTCAGGATTCTGTATCTCTGTTTGAAGTCACCATAACAAATCCTGTTCGGGAATCCCTTTCTGCAAATCCTGATGCCTTCCAATACACCGTTGCAACGGAGCTGATGCATGACCAGACAATTGTCCATGACTCCTGGAGTCTTATTTTCATTAGGAATCAGACAACGCACAAAGTGGGGGTGAGTTGTTTTCAAGTTGGTCATCAGTTTGTTGAGATTTTCTCTGTGCAAAGCAGACACTGTTTGGAAAGATGAACCTTTCTTCTTAGCACCTTTGCTAGATTTTTCAGCTGCGTCGGATCCTGCATAGTTAGAAAACAGGGAACTGAGCAGTTTGAGAGATGATTTCTGATACAACCCCACCACTGTTTCATTTAGAGGATCCTTGTTCTTCACCAGCCATCCTGTGATGTTGTAATCCACAGTGCCAGCATAATGCACAAGGGCAAAGTGAGCCTCCGTCTTTCCCTTCACAATTCGTGGTTTCTGGAACATGCTTGATTTGCCTAAGTGGTTGTCATAAAGTTTTGCCTTAAAAGTCTGATCAGAGGCTTTAGGAAACATACATTCTTCCTCTAAAATAGACATGATTCCAAGGGGCTTTTCAATGAGATCGATGCAAGCCTGCAAGTCCATGCCAAAGTCAATAAACTCCCATTCAATGCCTTCTTTCTTATATTCCTCTTGCTCCAAAACAAACATATGGTGATTAAAAAACTGTTGCAGTTTTTCATTAGTGAAGTTGATACAAAGCTGCTCAAAGCTGTTGAAATCAAAGATCTCAAATCCAGCAATGTCCAATACACCAATAAAATACTGGCGCTGCTGTTTGGTCTCAAGGGACTGGTTGATTCTCACAACCATCCAGTTAAACATTTTCTCATACACTGACTTTGCCAGTGCACCAATGGAATAATAGACTTGATTTACATTTTGCCCCTTTGTTACATACTCATTGCCAACCTTGACCCTGGGGTGACACAGACCTTTCAACAGGTCAGCTGAGTTCAGTCCCATTAAGTAAGCTGACTTGTCAGCTGACTCAGTACCGTCAGGCTCAGCCTGCTCCTCCCGCTGTTTTTGCTTGAACTTCATGTTTCCATAATGCATAATGGCACCTGTCAGCTTATAAACCCCCATTTTCTCTTCCTGAGTGAAGCCAAGCACATCAAAAGCACTGTCAGTTGAAATCAGTTCTTCAGCATCATCTATAGATGCAACTATAACCTCTCCTTGAGAAACATAGGCATAATCATATGGATTATTAGTGATCAATAGCATGTCCAACAGCTCAGGTTTTTTATTAGACAATATCTGGTAAAAAATGTGGTAATTTCTTTCAGCTTTGAGCTGAAAAGTTACACGAGATTTTTCAAGAAGGTAAGTCTCTATGTCTGCAGATGACAGCTTCCCACTGGCACCAAAATGAATTCGGATGAATTTGCCAAAACGTGAGGAGTTGTCATTTCTCAAGGTTTTTGCATTGCCAAAAGCTTCTAGAGCAGGGTTGGCCTGGATGATTTGATCTTCCAGTGTCCCTTTGCCCCCATCTTTCTTATTTCCTCCAACAGCAGCAATGCTGGCAAAATATTGAATTACTCTCTTTGTATTGACAGTCTTTCCTGCACCCGACTCTCCAGTGATGAGAATGGACTGATTCTCCCGATCGGTAAGCATGTACTGGTAGGCATTATCAGAAATGGAGAAGATGTGAGGAGGTGCTTCGCTTCTCTTTTTGCCTCTGTAGGCATTAACAACCTGCGCATCATACACCGGCAGCCACTTGTAAGGGTTGACAGTCACACAAAAAAGCCCAGAGTAGGTGTAGATCATCCAAGCTGCATAGCGCTCCTTGAGATTAAACAGCACGGCTGGCTCATGAAGAAAGGTGAACATGGCCATATCCTCGATTTTGTCAAACTTAGGAGGGTTCTGAGGATGGACATCATTTTCCTTCACAGTTACAGTCTTTCCATGCTCAGTTTGCACGGTCACCTTGTCCCCTTCACGGCTCACTATCTGGCCCTTGACATATTCCTCCTTGTCGTCCACAACAAAGCACTCCTTCTTGATGTCGAAGGGCCTGGTTTGAGCCTCCAGACGCTCCTTTTCGGATTTTCTCAGGTAAGGGGCAGCAGCTCCAAATTCAGCCATCTGAGCATCGGCCATTGTGGCAGGGTGATAGAAGATATTTAAGTCTGGAAAAGAAGTTGAGGACTCGAAACTCTCAGCAGACAGTACAGCTTCCTGTGATCATTGCTCTTCTGGTGCAAGGTTTATAAAGGCTAAGGAGAGTGCCAAATTAGGATGCAACTTCAAGCCTGAGCAAATCAATCCATTTCAGTCCCAAGTGGAATCTTCTTTGCTTGTTAATGTCCATTTTCGGATAACTGACAGCTGTGTAGTTATCTTTTCAGACTCTTAAACCACTCTTAACCCCCCTCTGCACACATTCCAGCCACCTTCTCTAAATCTAGCTCTGAGATTCACTTCACATAAAAAAAAATCACAGGGACGTTTTTTGTCACTTTATATAAGACAAGAAATGCATGTTCCAAAGATTGTTTAATCAAGATTCATCTGGAAGGAATTCACATATACAGTATTTCAACTGTATATGCTGATTTGTTTAGCTGAATTATTATTTTATTTGCCATATATTCCCTATATTCTATTATCTATATATAATTACTGATTTGATAAGTAGTGCAATTATGACATTCGCATGGCTGTGAATGTTTTCTTTCATTTAGATCCATTTCTCCTACTTTTCCAAAGTTCTTACAGACATTTATAAATTTGCATTTCTCTCAGACCTTCCTAGCACCTGGGACAAAAGACACAGTGTACCAACCCAGACATCATTAAAGTAACATTGGTACGTTACATCATTGGCAAATCATTAAACACACAATTATCATTAGGTATTGTAGTAGAAAATGTAAGATTTAAAGAGCTTAATTTATTAACCTGTAACAGAGGCTCACTTGATATTTAAAGGCTTGTGGTACTAATGCAACTTTATCTTAGTCTTACTGCATCTGTCTTTATCAAGAACCCTTCAGTCTGCCTGCACTAACACCCCTTTATCCATGCAGTACTGGCAGACACTCAAAGCTCATCCTCTGTCAGCTGTCATCTTCAGATCTTATAGTACATGATGCTTCTTTTAACTCTACTGTCTTTGGGTTGTAAGCCCTGCACTCCTTGAACTTAGTTAGAATGAAGAAGGACATGTTTTATTTTGTAAAGAAATATCAGATCCTGAAACCGGACTTTCCTCTTCCTCAATAAATCACTCTTATTTTCCATACAGTACCTTTCCCAGCACTTTCACACAGAAAATGTAAGTCAACATGTGGAAGATTAACTTAAATCCAATACAATTTTACCACAACCAGATAACCACTGTTACTTACAAATGTATAACTATGTTCAACATGGAAAAACTAAAGCCGTTTTTAAATATTTATATAATGCAATGCTCTGTGCACTCTTGTCATGAAACGAATACCACATTTACAATGTGGGATGAAAGTTGTTTGCTAAATTTCAAATATAAATTTCCTGTTTAATATCGAACTGGTTGTACTGTACAGCATCAAAATCATTTGATGAATGGTTTTGATGCCTTCAAGATATTGCCTTGAGATATTGTAGCATCTTCAGACAATTATCAATGCAGTAAACAACTGAATTAATGTTTGAAAATGTCTTGTATCTTAAGAATTTATATCCATTTATTATCCAAGCTATAAATCCATAGCAAACTATAAAAACTATAAAGCATCCACAGTTTTTACTTAATTGTAAAGGCAACAGCAGAGAGAATTAGAAAATACCATACAAAAATAAACAAAAAATGTATTTTTTTTGTTTCTTGTGTTTCTTGTTTGTTTTCCAATTAATTCATTAATTCAGTAATTAATTAACCTTGACACAGAGGTATGCACAAATGTTCTGTGACAGGTTGTGTGGTTTAAAGTCATGACAAATATATTGTACAGGTGGTCTTATAAAAACTCACCCTGTCACCTGGGGTGGGCATCAGAATAGTGATGAAAGCTAGAGCAGTGTTTTATGATCGGACTGTTTTTCTTAGTTCGGCCCAGTTAAATTGTTTGTGGCCTTGTTTTTTTTTTTTCACTGGATACAGTTACATGTAGAATCATTACTCCCAGTATTCCTCAGCCAGCTACTCTTCCAACAAATGCAGAAAGTAATACATTTGTTATCCAATTGTCCAATTTATTGAGCTGTCACTTGCAAGCACAGGAAGAGAGCTACAAATAGAGGTTGTCAGGGGAGATGGAGTGAGAGCTCTCTGTCTTCTATTTCTGCCACTTCACACATCAGTGATACTAGGGAAGAATTTCAATAAGGCTAGATAGCCCAAGGATGAAGCATCAATGACCTTGCTTTTCAAATTATTATAAATAGAACAGCCTTTTGTTCCCTTTCTTCTGTTTCATCTTTTAAGAATCTACAGTACAATAAAAAAACCATCTGTTACTGATGTGCATTTATTAATGTCAGCTTTTATTTTATTTTGAAATATTAAGGCTGCATTTTGGCAACCCCACATCTGCATCTCATCTCAAGCTAAAGATTTCTTGACTCTCTTCAGTTTCAGAACTGGAAGCACATACCTTGGAACCAATTTGTTAGCCCGTACTTACACTTCTTTTCTGATGTGCAGTTTAAATATGCATTTTGATGGAAGAAGATTCTCAAAGTCCTTATTTAATTTGAAATTACAATGTCTGTTTCAGCAAATATACTGTACAATAAGCTTATTTATGATTTACTTTACTTACATTAGGTGATACTATTCCAATATTCATATTTGGGAAGAGCATAAAAAGATTAAATTCTAATTTTAACAATTTGAAGTACTGTAGCTGTCAAATTTTAATATTACCATCTTTATTAATTAGTTGTTTGGAAGTTTTTGAGATTAACATGGGTCTGAGTACTGTATGTTTTAGCATCCATGAGTAATACTTATTTGAAAATTTGGCAATTTAGTAAAGTGAAGTGTTCTTAAATACTCAGCATTTGTACTCCAAACATTGCACAGACAGTAAAGGCCTTTTTCAGACATATTACTTTCCAAAGAAATATAAAACAACTTGGCGCTATAAAAATGACATGAGCTCTCTTCTGCATGATCAAAGTAATATGCAGTATGCACTTGAGATCTTGATTGATTGGATGCTGAAAGTATTGCTGTATTTAACTCTGGACTAGGGAGGTAAAAATCTGATATTTTTACATATTTCATGTGACCACTGTAAATCCTTAGCAGGTTACCAGCATAAAGAATAGATTAAGAATTAAAGTTCATCTCCAGTAGCTGGTAAGAGTGGAAGAGGGTAATATTCTGTGACCTATAATTACCAAATGTGTGTTGTACCATGAAGAAAATACAAGTGTAAAAGTATATAATGAGGGAGATACCAAAATACTGGAATTTTATCAAATGAAATTGCAAAATTAGATCATTTGAATGGATTTGATGTTACAGAATCTGGGGGCTGTACACACCTGAATGCAACCTGTTTAAACTTAAAATGTATTTTATACATTTGTAGAAGCACGACTGAAATACATTAGGAATTTACTCAAATTGAAGTATTTAATGTGTAACTTAAATAATCTGAAGCAAATAAAGCACCGTTCTTATTTTATTATCACCTTTTCCTGTGCAAATCTTTCTAGGACTCAAGGTTCTGGCAGTCTGAACTGACAGTTTTCTTTCTGTACGTTTTCTTTATTTTTAACTTTTTGAGTTCCAGATCTACCCAGATAAAACAATCTCTTTAGGTGTAAAAAGGGGTTGTTTCTGGGACTGCTAATGAAAATTAAACTTAAATTTACAAAATTCTTCTGAAAACTGAACACCTTCTGTTCTGTGTAAAACAATCATGTTTTAACTATATTTGGTCCACATCTCAGACTGCATTAACAAGCCTTCATAGAACTTCATATCTTGATAATGCTATGGTAAAGGAAAAATACAGTATAGTAGAAGGAAAGCATGTAGATATATAAGATCTTCCATATTACTGAGAAAGACATAAGAAAGCAAGATAGATCCATACTATACATGAGAAATATGAGAAAAATGTGATTTTATTGCGGAAAACCTAAGTAATGGAGGATTAAAGTCACCCAGTCTTGGGTATTATCACCATAGCGAAACGTTTTCAAACTCAGTAAGCCATTATCAGTGAGCCACTTATCCTGGTCAGGTCACAACAAGCTGGAACATATCCTGGAAACTCTAGGCCCTTGTGTCAAAACTGAGATCGGATGACTACTCCTACCCCATAAAGGATGTCATTCCTTTGCAAGGCTACAATGATAATGGAAAAACATAGTCAATCTAGCCTTACTCACGTGTTTCGGAGAGATAAAAACCCACGCAAGCATATGGAGAACATGTAAACTCCACACATACACCCACGACTAGGATAGAAGCCAGGAGGTAGCAATGCTAAGCAACACACCACCATGCTTCCTGAAATCTTCAGAAACAAGTCAGTAAATATGTTTGTTTTTTTGCCTATAGTAACGTAACCAATCAAACTGTATACTGTTAATTATTTTTTTAGGTTTACAGTCAAATTCTGCCTGTTTTGTCATTTGTCACAGGGCTTTTATGCTAAAATAACAAACTGTTAAACAGTTTGTCTAAACTCATGGTTACCATCTGTTGCGATGACTGCTTGGCCCAACAACTAGTTCCAAATAGGGATTGGAGTTGTGTGTTCCATTTTTCTGAAAATTTGTCATGTGTCCTTAATTTTATAGCATTACTTTCAGCATTCCTCTGAAAAACATGACCATTTCAACCATCCTCTAAAACGAATCTTACTTTTTTTTTTCATTTCATAGGATATATTGAAATGCATTTATGAATGAGATGGGCTAAAACAACAAAAATAAAATTAGAAGATGGAGCCAAAATTGTTTCAGATTATTTCAGAGAAAATCTGAATCTTTGAATATTATCAAAATAAAAATAATCTCTTTAACCTCCAGCACATTCAGAAAGAGGAATATAATGATTTAAATCTAGGGGTGGAAGGAAGCATGCTCGTTTAAATTCAACTGCTTGCAAAACCTGTACTACGAGTGATAAATGAAGGACTGGTCCAGTATCAAAATACCTTCATTAAGCTAGCTTAGTACCTGTCATAAGTTATGTAAATCAACTCAAAGCAAACAAAATAAAGTAAACAATTTACACTAGATTAAAATATACAATGCATTCAAACAATTGAATAAACACAGTGTCTGTGGTACCAAGTACAACAAGTGGGGCTATGGAAGAGAAAAATATTTTCCATTCTTCTTCACTGTAGTCCATAGATTCACTAATACCTTTCCGTACTAGAGCAGCTATCTACCCAACCATTGGTTAGGTGTTT